AGAATTCTGACTTTAATCTCACAATTCTGACTTTAATCTCACAATTCTGACTTTAATCTCAGGATTCTGACTTTAATCTCAGGATTCTGACTTTAATCTCACAATTCTGACTTTATTCTCAGAATTCTGACTTTAATCTCACAATTCTGACTTTATTCTCAGAATTCTGACTTTAATCTCACAATTCTGACTTTAATCTCACAATTCTGACTTTAATCTCAGCATTCTGACTTTAATCTCAGAATTCAGACTTTTTCCTCACAATTCTGACTTTAATCTCACAATTCTGACTTTAATCTCACAATTCTGACTTTAATCTCAGAATTCTGACTTTAATCTCAGAATTCTGACTTTTTCCTCACAATTCTGACTTTAATCTCAGAATTCTGACTTTAATCTCACAATTCTGACTTTAATCTCAGGATTCTGACTTTAATCTCACAATTCTGACTTTAATATCACAATTCTGACTTTAATCTCACAATTCTGACTTTAATCTCAGGATTCTGACTTTAATCTCAGGATTCTGACTTTAATCTCAGGATTCTGACTTTAATCTCACAATTCTGACTTTAATCTCACAATTCTGACTTTTTCCTCACAATTCTGACTTTAATCTCACAATTCTGACTTTAATCTCAGAATTCTGACTTTTTCCTCACAATTCTGACTTTAATCTCAGAATTCTGAATTTAATCTCACAATTCTGACTTTAATCTCAGAATTCTGACTTTTTCCTCAGAATTCTGACTTTAATCTCACAATTCTGACTTTAATCTCACAATTCTGACTTTAATCTCACAATTCTGACTTTAATCTCAGAATTCTGACTTTAATCTCACATTTCTGACTTTAATCTCACATTTCTGACTTTAATCTCACAATTCTGACTTTATTCTCAGAATTCTGACTTTAATCTCACAATTCTGACTTTAATCTCAGAATTCTGACTTTAATCTCAGAATTCTGACTTTTTCCTCACAATTCTGACTTTAATCTCAGAATTCTGACTTTAATCTCACAATTCTGACTTTAATCTCAGGATTCTGACTTTAATCTCACAATTCTGACTTTAATCTCACAATTCTGACTTTAATCTCAGAATTCTGACTTTAATCTCACAATTCTGACTTTATTCTCAGTATTCTGACTTTAATCTCACAATTCTGACTTTAATCTCACAATTCTGACTTTAATCTCAGAATTCTGACTTTTTTCCTCACAAATTCTGACTTTTAATCTCACAATTCTGACTTTAATATCCAGAATTTGACTTTAATCTCAGGGATTGTGACTTATCCTCAAATTCTGACTTTAATCTCTGGATGAGTGAGATATTTAATCTCACAATCTGACTAGTGTTAATCTCAGATTTCTGACTTAATCTCCACAATCTGATTTTAATCTCAGAATTCTGACCTTTAATCTCAGGATTCCTGAAAAACTCTTGGCACGGCATAACGCATCCCCAGCATACACAATAACCCCCCCAAATAATAGAAAAACCATACAAGCGCAAGGCAGCTGTTGAAGGCTCAAAAGCATTTAGATATCGGATCCACAACCACTCTCACCAAAAGACATATATAAAAAAAAATAATACAGTCTTCAGCCAAAGGCCACTCATCAAAAAAGGCAGCTTGCACTGCACTGCACAATGGAATGCCGGCGGGGGCAGACACATTGGACACTAATTGATGACCAATTTAATATAATGTAATAAAAGAAACATAAAAAACAATAACAAAACCAACCAACAAAATACACGAAACCTGAAACCAAACTTTAATCTCAGGCTTCTGCACTTTAATCTCAGGATTCCTGACTTTAATCTCACAATTCTGGACTTTAATCTCACAATTCTTGACTTTAATCTCACAACTCTGCTTGTAATCTCAGGATTCTGACTTTAATCTCACAATTCTGACTTTTGTATCTCAGGATTCTGACTTTAATTCAAATATCTGAACTTTAAATCTCCACCAATTCTTGACTTTAATCTCCAGGATCTGACTTTATCTAAGGATTCTGACCTTTAATCTACAATTATGACTTAATCTCAAAATTCTGACTTTTTCCTCAGGAATTTCTGACCTTTAATCTCACAATTCTGACTTTTTTTTTTTTGATCTCAGGATTCTTACTTTAATCTCACAATTCTGACTTTAATCTCACAAATTATGGACTTTTAATCTCAGAATTCTGACTATTAATCTCACAATTCTGACTTTAATCTCACAATTTGACTTTAAAGAGATCAGGATTCTGACTTTATATCTCCACGCAATTCTGTCATTTAATCTCACAACTCTGTCTTTAATCTCTGGTTTCTGGACTTTAATCTCACAATTCAGGACTTTAATCTAGACAGGATCTGACTTTAATACACAATCCTGACGTTTAATCAGCACAATTCTGACTTTTTCCTCACTATTCTGTCTTTTAATCTCAGATTTCTGACGTTAATCTCAGAATTTAGACCTTTTTACTCTCACAATTCTGACTTTAAATCTCACAAGTTCTGACTTTATTCTCCAGAATTGCTGATTTTACCTCTCTAATTCCTGTCTTTGCATCTGCAGGAATTCTGACTTTTCCTCACAATTCTGATTTAATCTACACAATTCTGACTTTAATCTCTGAATTCTGACTTTAATATCACAATTCTGACTTTAATCTCACAATTCTGACTTTAATCTCAATTTGCTGACTTAAATCTCACATTTCTGACTTTAATCTCACAATTCTGACTTTATTCTCAGAATTCTGACTTTAATCTCACAATTCTGACTTTAATCTCAGAATTCTGACTTTAATCTCAGAATTCTGACTTTTTCCTCACAATTCTGACTTTAATCTCAGAATTCTGACTTTAATCTCACAATTCTGACTTTAATCTCAGGATTCTGACTTTAATCTCACAATTCTGACTTTAATCTCACAATTCTGACTTTAATCTCAGAATTCTGACTTTAATCTCACAATTCTGACTTTATTCTCAGAAGTCTGACTTTAATCTCACAATTCTGACTTTAATCTCACAATTCTGACTTTAATCTCAGAATTCAGACTTTTTCCTCACAATTCTGACTTTAATTTCACAATTCTGACTTTTTCCTCACAATTCTGACTTTAATCTCACAATTCTGACTTTAATCTAACAATTCTGACTTTAATCTCAGGATTCTGACTTTAATCTCAGGATTCTGACTTTAATCTCAGGATTCTGACTTTAATATCACAATTCTGAGTTTAATCTCAGAATTCTGACTTTAATCTCAGAATTCTGACTTTAATCTCAGGATTCTGACTATAATCTCAGGATTCTGACTTTAATCTCACAATTCTGACTTTAATCTCACAATTCTGACTTTAATCTCACAATTCTGACTTTAATCTCACAATTCTGACTTTTTCCTCACAACTCTGACTTTAATCTCAGGATTCTGACTTTAATCTCACAATTCTGACTTTAATCTCACAATTCTGACTTTAATCTCACAATTCTGACTTTAATCTCACAATTCTGACTTTTTCCTCACAACTCTGACTTTAATCTCAGGATTCTGACTTTAATCTCACAATTCTGACTTTAATCTCAGGATTCTGACTTTAATCTCACAATTCTGACTTTAATCTCAGGATTCTGACTTTAATCTCAGGATTCTGACTTTAATCTCACAATTCTGACTTTAATCTCACAATTCTGACTTTTTCCTCAGAATTCTGACTTTAATCTCAGAATTCTGACTTTAATCTCAGGATTCTGACTTTAATCTCACAATTCTGACTTTAATCTCAGGATTCTGACTTTAATCTCACAATTCTGACTTTAATCTCACAATTCTGACTTTAATCTCACAATTCTGACTTTAATCTCAGGATTCTGACTTTAATCTCAGGATTCTGACTTTAATCTCAGGATTCTGACTTTAATCTCACAATTCTGACTTTAATCTCACAATTCTGACTTTTTCCTCACAATTCTGACTTTAATCTCAGAATTCTGACTTTAATCTCAGAATTCTGACTTTTTCCTCACAATTCTGACTTTAATCTCACAATTCTGACTTTAATCTCACAATTCTGACTTTAATCTCAGAATTCTGACTTTAATCTCACATTTCTGACTTTAATCTCAGGATTCTGACTTTAATCTCACAATTCTGACTTTAATCTCAGGATTCTGACTTTAATCTCAGGATTCTGACTTTAATCTCAGAATTCTGACGTTAATCTCACAATTCTGACTTTAATCCCAGGATTCTGACTTTAATCTCAGGATTCTGACTTTAATCTCAGGATTCTGACTTTAATCTCACATTTCTGACTTTAATCTCACAATTCTGACTTTTTCCTCACAATTCTGACTTTAATCTCAGGATTCTGACTTTAATCTCACAATTCTGACTTTTTCCTCACAATTCTGACTTTAATCTCACAATTCTGACTTTAATCTCAGAATTCTGACTTTAATCTCACAATTCTGACTTTAATCTCAGGATTCTGACTTTGATCTCACAATTCTGACTTTAATCTCAGGATTCTGACTTTAATCTCACAATTCTGACTTTAATCTCAGAATTCTGACTTTAATCTCAGAATTCTGACTTTAATCTCAGAATTCTGTCTTTAATCTCAGAATTCTGACTTTAATCTCACAATTTTGACTTTAATCTCACAATTCTGACTTTAATCTCACAATTCTGACTTTAATCTCACAATTCTGACTTTAATCTCACAATTCTGACTTTAATCTCAGAATTCTGACTTTAATCTCACATTTCTGACTTTAATCTCATAGTTCTGACTTTTTCCTCACAATTCTGACTGAATTCTGACAGCTAACAAACATGTTAGCATTAAGCCGTAGCCATGTCTGTTTTAGAGACTAGCTCTCTGGTTTTAATGACCTTCTGTTCCTCCATTAATCAAACAGCATCAGCAGGGACCCTTTGCTCCTGGAGTGTAATACGATCCTGTCATTGTTTCTGTTCTAGAACAGTCAATCAAAATGTTCATCCGCGGCCGACCCATAACCATGTACGTCCCGTCCAACATCCAGAACTACGACAACCTGAAGATGGAGCTTCCCTCGGAGAGGCTGGAGCTGGACTGGGTGTATCCTTTACTCTGGTGACGGAGGAGCAGCGTGGGCTGGAGAGAACGGGTCGCAATCATCTGATTTAATACGGTGGAATGATTAAATATCAGAGCGGGTGGTAATTAGGTTAAAATTCATTACTTTTTACACCTTTTATTTTATTGATATTTCCAGGTAGAAATCTGATCAGAAGAGCAGAAAAAGCCAGGCTACTAAACACCCTTAACCTAATTTAACCTCATTAATAAAGATAAGTTTTTATTGGCTAAAGGTCCTCATGGCTTTCTATTTTTCTACTTTACCATTGAAGGTTGTGGATCATACTGTTATGCAGCAGTCTGCGACATTCCCAATCCGGAATAGGAGTGGGAAGGGAGCTAAATGAGTGTTAGCCCATGTTTGAAAAACACACGTTAACCTGCTAATTTCATTGGGAAAGAAGCTAACAACATCATTTTTATGTCAGAAATGTGACTTTGAACATTTTGGTTTCATAATAAATCCTTCAAAAAAATTCAGAGCGACCGAATTGAGCCTGGTGAATTCCTTTGCAGTCATACTGCTGACCAGGGGCGGATTTAGGAAATTTGGGGCCCTAGGCAAAGACAGGCAGGGGGCCCTCTGAATTGAGAAGACAACACATAGAACAGACCCATTCTGTCAAGAAGCGAGGACAGATGGACCCAGTATTCAAGGAGAGACAGTTTATTAAACAAAAACTAAAGTGGAGCTGTGGCTCGCGGACACTGCAGGCGGGGGGGCGGGGCACCGCCCAATCACAGACACTCTGGTTTAACAGTCCTGACCAAGAATGTCCCCCAAGTGCTGCAGTCCCAGAGATCATGCTGGAAGCCGATCCTGGTCAGGGATCCAGAACAGACAGGAACAGAGAACAGGCAGGATCCAGATCAGGCAGGAACAGAAACAGGTGGCAGGATCAAGACTTCCAGACATCCACAGGCTCCCAGGAGGGTTCAGAGTCTGACTGGGACCAGAAGCATGACCAGGTGGTCACGCACAGGAGCAGACAGGATCAGGTGCAGACAGGCAGGCTCAGTGGAAGAGGGTAGCCGAGACAGGACGTGGAACCGGAACTTGATGCAGGACTTTAAACTGGTCTCCTCCCTGGAGCCAGGCTTACTTGGATAAAAACTGAACCTCCCCACATAATAAGCCAAAAACCCAGAGGACTCCGTGGGGGAGGAACAGTGGACGATCAGGAGACGAGACAAACACTAAAACCCTCTCTCCACTGGCTGCCAGGATCCAGAACATGAACCATGAAATAAAAATAACAGACAGACTAACAGAAAGACACGTAATGATCTGGCCCTGAATGCTCAGGCTGAACTGAATATAAACCATAGGAAACAGGTGAGAGGAATAAATTATAATTGAGGCAGGGAGGGAAAAACGGTGAAAGGAATTTCTAATTAAGGAGGAGCAAACAGGCCAGATCATGACCCATTCTACAGATAGAGAAATGTTAATAGAATAGACATCCATTATCTGTTCTAGGTTTTGTCCCTTTTCTTCTTGTTTTTCCTCTCTGTTTTGTATTCAGCTGACTTTTCATGCTGTCTCTAAAGGAATGAAAAACAGGGACAGCAGCAGATATTATCAGGATTCCACTAAAAATCATTAAAATATATATTTTTTAAATTAAAATTAATTAAATGTGATTATTGAATTTAGCATTTAAAATGCTATATTAATATGTTTGGAAAAGAAGGTCAAGGCGGAGAAAAAGCTAGAGAATGCGAAAATGCAAATTTGAACTAAAGTGGCTGGAAAACGTGGAATTCAGGACGTGGCAGCTGCCTGTCGACTGGTACTTTTGATGGCATTAAAATTACTTCCAAAGAGCTTTAAAGTAGAGTTACTCATTCCTGTATAAATCCTGATTATGAACATCCAGATTAAAATAATAAAAGAACACAGTAATACTAAAACAAGATGCATTCAAAAGGTACAAAATAAATAAATAGAGGTGTCAAGGTAACAGCATGAGTTTAGTTATAGATCTCCACTTTGTTTCAAAGGACTCCATCTTGAGTTTTAGTCTTGATGTTGTTTTTTTTCATAATATAGACGTTTCTAATTCAATTTCTCCACTGCGTAACGCTGGGAGGTCGTGGTTTTAACCAGGCAGGTGTTATACACTTCTTTCGCAGTCAGAAGCAGAACTCTGATCAAGTCGTTATTGTCTTTGTCAATCATGTCCACGGCGATTGTTGGTAAAATATATAGAGATGCATCTAGATCTACGCCAACACCTAAAATACCTTTTTTTATCTTTGTTTTTAAATTTTTCCAAAAACTCAGGCACAATCGGGCAATCCCAAAATATGCGAGTTAAATCCCCCACATTTCCACATTTTCTCCAACAAAGACGAGATGTTTGACCGTGTTTAGATGTGATAACTGGACGTTTAAAGTAACGAATCTTAACTTTCCAGTCAGATTCCCTCCATGTCGGGCTGTTCGTTAGTTTGTCCAGAGTTAAATGTTTCTTCCCAATCTTCATCTGCTTTTATTTTATTTGCGCTTCTCCTTAATTTCCTTATTATTAACATTGGTTTCCTATTGCAGGCTTTTATATAGTTTTGAGATCAAGCATTTTTTGTATTCATCTTTTGCAATTTGAATTGTTTTTGTATTTGACATGCTTTCATTGTTTCCACCTTAACCACGTCCTCAGCTACGGCTACCGCGGACGCGACTGCCGGGCTAATTTATTCTTCCTTCCCACGGGCGAGGCGGTTTACTTCATTGCTTGTGTCATCGTGCTCTATCACATCAACAACCGCACCCAGCGCCACTACCGCAAACACACCGACTCCGTCCGATGGTCAGTGACTCCAAAGCTTTTTATGTTCAAGAGAAACGTGCTGTGAGAGCAGTGGCGCCACCAGGGGGTAGGCCAGGGCATTGTACTGGGTGGGCTTGGCCACCTCACTGGCCACCTTACTGGCCATCCCAACTGGCCACCCCACTGGCCACCTCACTGGCCACCCCACTGGCCACCTCACTGGCCACCCCACTGTCCACCCCACTGGCCACCCCAGCTGGCCACCTCACTGGCCACCCCACTGGCCACCCCACTAGCCACCTCACTGGCCACCCCACTGGCCACCTCACTAGCCACCCCACTGGCCACCTCACTAGCCACCCCACTGGCCACCCCACTGGCCCCCCCAAAATGGAAACCCAGGGCCCCCCCACGCCCCCCCACTGGGCCCCTCACGGGCCCCCCAAATCCCCCATGCCACCTCACGGGCCCATCCCCTGGCCCCCCACCCCCCCCATGGCCACCTCACTGGCCCCCACCCCCCCCGGGGCCCCCCACGCCCCCCCCCTTCCCACCTCACGGCCCCCCGGCCCCCCAGGGCCCCCTTTTCCTGGCCACCCCCCTCCACCCCACGGGCCCCCCATCCCCATGGCCCCCACGGGGGCCACCTCATTTTGGGCCACCCCCACTGCCACCTCACTAACCCACCCCCACTCCCACCCCGGCCACCCCCGCCCCACCCACTGGCCACCCCCTGGCCACCCAACTCCCCCCCAGGCCACCCCCACGGCCACCTCCTGGCCACCCCCTGGCCACCCACTGGCCCCCCAGCCCCTTTTGAAACTACCCTCCCCCCCACTGCCCCACCCCCATGGCCACCCCAGCTGGCCACCTCACTACCACCCCCCACTGGCCACCCGCTGGCCCCCTCAAAAGCCACCCCCCTGGCCACCCACTACCAACCCCAGCGCCCACCTATACCCCCACCCCCCCGCTCCCACCCCTACCACCCCTGCCCCCTCCACTACCACCCCAGCTGGCCATTTTCACCACCCCCGGGCCCCCATGGCCCACCCCACTGCCCCCTCACTAGCCCCCACCCAACCCCAGGGCCCACCCCATTTCCCCACCCCACTGGCCCCCCCCAGCCCAAACCCACTGGCTAAACTCCCCCCAGGCCACCCCGCCACCCCATTTTGGAAGGGGGCCCCCCACTCCCCCCCTTTTCCCCCACTGCCCCCCCACCCCACCTACTGACCCACGGGCCCTCATAGCCACCCCCCACCTCTCCACCCCACCCCCACGGGGCCACCCCACGTCCACCCCACTGGCCACCCCAGCTGGCCACCCCCCTAAACCCCACTACACCCACAACCCCTCCAAAGGCCCCCCCAGGCCACCCCCGCCCCCTCAGGGGCCCCCCCACGGCCCCCCCATCCCCCCCACGGCCCCCATTCCCCCCCCCACTAACCCCAAATGGCCACCTACTGTCCCCCCACTACCCCCCCTGGCCCCCTTCCCCCCCCACTGGAAATCCCATCCAACTCCCCCCCCATTTTCCACCCCACGGGCCCCCCCACGGCCCCCCACGGGCCACCTCACTGGGCCACCCCAGTCCCCCCTTGGCCAACTGATACGGCATCCCCACTGCCACCCATTCCCCCCATGGCCACCCATGCCACCTCACTAGCCCCCCCAACCACTCTCACTAGCCACCCGGCAATTCCATCTGTCCCCACACCCTGGCCTTTACCCCAGCTGGCACGGCTCACTCAGACCACCCCACTGCTCACCCCACTACCCACCACACATGCATGGCAGAACTCCACCTTTTACTGTCCACCCAATGGCCCAGCTGGCACCACTGCCACCCCACGCAGGTGGCCACCTTAGCCACTTGGCCACCTCACAGCCACCCTTCACTGGCCACCCCAAACTGGCCACCCCATGGCCACCTCATGCGCCCCCACTGCCACGCTCCACTGGCCACCCACTGGCCACCCCAGCTGGCCACCTCACTGCCACCGCCCCTGGCCTCACCCACTGGCCATCCCCACTGTCCCACCCCACTGCCACCCACTGTCCACCCCACATGGCCACCTCACTGCCACCCCACTGGGCCACCTCACTGCCATCCCCACTGGCCACGTCACTGCCCCAACTGCCACTCACTGGCCACCTCACTGGCCACCCCACTATCCACCTCACTGGCCACCCCACTGTCCACCCCACTGGCCACCCCACTGGCCACCCCAGCTGGCCACCTCCCTGGCCACCCCACTAGCCACCTCACTAGCCACCTCACTGGCCACCCCACTGGCCACCCCACTGGCCACCCCACTGGCTACCCCACTGTCCCACCCCACTGGCCACCCCAGCTGGCCACCTCACTGTCCACCTCACTAGCCACCCCACTGGCCACCTTACTGGCCATCCCCACTGGCCACCCCACTGGCCACCCCACTGGCCACCTCACTGGCCACCTCACTGGCCACCCCACTGTCCACCCCACTGGCCATCCCCACTGGCCACCCCACTGGCCACCTCACTGGCCACCCCAGCTGTCCACCCCACTGGCCACCCCACTGCCCACCTCACTGGCCATCCCCACTGGCCACCCCACTGTCCACCCCACTGGCCACCCCAGCTGGCCACCTCACTAGCCACCCCACTGGCCACCTCACTAGCCACCTCACTGGCCACCTCACTAGCCACCTCACTGGCCACCCCACTGGCCCACCCCACTGGCCACCCCAGCTGGCCACCTCACTAGCCACCCCACTGGCCACCCCAGCTGGCCACCTCACTAGCCACCCCACTGGCCACCTCACTAGCCACCCCAGCTGGCCACCTCACTAGCCACCCCACTGGCCACCCCACTGGCCACCCCAGCTGGCCACCTCACTAGCCACCCCACTGGCCACCCCACTGTCCCACCCCACTGGCCACCCCACTGTCCCACCCCACTGGCTACCCCACTGTCCCACCCCAGCTGGCCACCTCACTAGCCACCCCACTGGCCACCTCACTAGCCACCCCACTGGCCACCTCACTAGCCACCCCACTGGCCACCTCACTAGCCACCTCACTGGCCACCCCACTATCCACCTCACTGGCCACCCCACTGGTCCACCCCACTGGCCACCCCACTGTCCCACCCCACTGTCCACCCCACTGGCCACCCCACTGGCCACCCCAGCTGGCCACCTCCCTGGCCACCCCACTAGCCACCTCACTAGCCACCTCACTGGCCACCCCACTGGCCACCCCACTGGCCACCTCACTGGCCACCCCACTGGCTACCCCACTGTCCCACCCCACTGGCCACCCCACTGTCCCACCCCACTGGCCACACCAGCTGGCCACCTCACTGTCCACCTCACTAGCCACCCCACTGGCCACCTCACTGGCCACCCCACTGGCCACCCCAGCTGGCCACCTCACTAGCCACCTCACTGGCCACCTCACTGGCCACCCCACTGTCCCACCCCACTGGCCACCCCAGCTGGCCACCTCACTAGCCACCCCACTGGCCACCCCAGCTGGCCACCTCACTAGCCACCCCACTGGCCACCTCACTAGCCACCCCACTGGCCACCCCAGCTGGCCACCTCACTAGCCACCCCACTGTCCCACCCCACTGGCCACCCCAGCTGGCCACCTCACTAGCCACCCCACTGGCCACCCCAGCTGGCCACCTCACTAGCCACCCCACTGGCCACCTCACTAGCCACCCCACTGGCCACCCCACTGGCCACCCCAGCTGGCCACCTCACTAGCCACCCCACTGGCCACCCCACTGGCCACCCCACTGTCCCACCCCACTAGCCACCCCAGCTGGCCACCTCACTAGCCACCCCACTGTCCACCTCACTGGCCACCCCACTGTCCACCTCACTGGCCACCCCACTGTCCACCTCACTAGCCACCTCACTGGCCACCTCACTGGCCACCCCACTGTCCACCTCACTGGCCACCTCGCTGGCCACCCCACTGTCCACCTCACTGGCCACCTTGCTGGCCACCCCACTGTCCACCTCACTAGCCACCCCACTGGCCACCTCACTGGCCACCCCACTGTCCACCTCACTAGCCACCTCACTGGCCACCTCACTGGCCACCCCAAGCTGTCCACCTCACTGTCCACCTCGCTGGCCACCCCACTGTCCACCTCACTGGCTACCCCACTGTCCACCTCACTAGCCACCCCACTGGCCACCCCATTGTCCACCTCACTGGCCACCCCACTGTCCACCTCACTAGCCACCCCACTGGCCACCCCATTGTCCACCTCACTGGCCACCCCACTGGCCACCTCCCTGGCCACCTCACTGGCCACCTCGCTGGCCACCCCACTGTCCACCTCACTGGCCACCTCACTGGCCACCCCACTGTCCACCTCACTGGCCACCTCCCTGGCCACCTCACTGGCCACCTCACTGGCCACCCCACTGGCCACCTCACTGGCCACCTCACTGGCCACCCTACTGTCCACCTCACTGGCCACCTCACTGTCCACCTCACTGGCCACCTCACTGGCCACCTCACAGGCCACCCCACTGTCCACCTCACTGGCCACCTCACTGGCCACCTCCCTGGCCACCCCACTGTCCACCTCACTGGCCACCTCACTGGCCACCTCCCTGGCCACCCCACTGTCCACCTCACTGGCCACCTCACTGTCCACCTCACTGGCCACCTCACTGGCCACCTCCCTGGCCACCTCACTGGCCACCTCACGGTCCACCCCCCTGGCCACCCCCCTGGCCACTCCACTGGCCACCTCACTGGCCACCTCACTGGCCACCCCACTGGCCACCCCACTGGCCACCCCACTGTCCACCCCACTGTCCACCTCACTGGCCACCTCACCGGCCACCCCACTGTCCACCTCACTGGCCACCTCACTGTCCACCTCACTGGCCACCTCACTGGCCACCTCACGGTCCACCCCCCTGGCCACCCCCCTGGCCACCCCACTGGCCACCTCACTGGCCACCTCACTGGCCACCCCACTGGCCACCTCCCTCGCCACCCCACTGGCCACCTCACTGGCCACCCCACTGGCCACCTCCCTCGCCACCCCACTGGCCACCTCACTGGCCACCCCATTGGCCACCTCATGGTCCACCCCCCTGGCCACCCCACTGTCCACCCCCCTGGCCACCCCACTGTCCACCCCACTGTCCACCCCCCTGGCCACCCCACTGTCCACCTCACTGGCCACCCCCCTGTCCACTAAGATCTGAGGAGGTGTTACTGAAGTCTTTCTGATTTCTACAGGCAGGTTTAACACTATAGTAGATTCAAACCCTGAAATGATGCCTTTTAGATTCAGCGGCCACCCCAAGATTTTTAGTTGCCCCATCCGGCCCCCCTATGGAACTCTTATGGATGGTGTAATCGAAACAGTTGGTTTCAGAAAAGTGATTCCGATTTAGTTCTTCTTCATCCGTCAGTCTTGGCTGTAAATGTGTAGATTTTGTCTGACCTCAGCGAGACATTTAAAAGATTAATTCATGGATTTTTCTATGTGTGATAATAGCGGTTAGCATCTATATAACCTGATTGAAGGGCATCAAAATAGAGGTTTTATTAAAACAAACATGTTTCTTCAAGCTCTTAATTCTTTATAGGGAACTCATTGAAATACTTTGAAAATTTCCAGCCAATAAAATCCAGGACAAGACCTTATTACTCTGGTAACGTTCAATAAATCTGGATATTTTGATTGTAAAAATAATGTCAATGTAATAACAAGAAACGCCAACTCACCCAAATATATTAAGAAAAATAACTAAAGTGCTTCTAAAAGAAATTCATGGAAAACACTCTGAGAGTGAAAGAAATACTTTTTTTTTTTGGGTCCAACATAACCTTAGAGCAGGGGCCAAGGACCCCCAAACTGATAGCAAGATGGAGCGGGGACCCCCTAATTATATATATCGTATGAAATTGTGTTATATCAAACAAGTCCTATAGTCATTCTATTACAGATGGAGTAATGTAACTAAAGTAATCCCTCCCTGGGATTATTAAAGTATTTCTGATTCCTGGTTGATGGGACAGGTGTTGTGAATGAAACGGTGCCCAGGTCTGAAAGAGCTCCTGTGTGTCGCTGAATGTGAGCATTGATGACTGAAAGACATCTTCTGCCTCCATTTATCTGTTTACTACAGTGCGTTGAATTCATGTTAATGTGGATTTAAAGACATTTTAATTAGTGCACAAAATTGCAGGAGGGAATATAAAAAAAAGTTATCAACCAAGACTTTCGACACCCCCATGCAGTACCTCCGCGGACCCCCTAGGAGTCGCGGACCCCCTGTTGAAGACCTCTGCCGTAGAGGCATTAATGCTGATACTGGCACTGACATTTTTACTTTAACCTAAATATAATTGTTAGCTAGGCTTGTTAACTTTTAGCTTTACTTATTAACTTTTTAATTAACTTTTTACCTTTTTTTCTTTACATTTAATTTTTTAATTAACTTTTTACCTTTTTTCTTGACATTGAACTTTTTAATTAACTTTTTAACTTTTTTTTCTTGACATTTAATTTTTTAATTTTTTTCTTTACTTTTTAACATTTTGATTAACTTTTTACCTTTTTTTCTTGACATTTAACTTTTTAATTAACTTTTTTTTCTTGACATTTAATTTTTTAATTAGCTTTTTAAATTTTTTTCTTTACTTTTTAACATTTTTATTAACTTTTTACCTTTTTTTCTTGACATTTAACTTTTTAATTAACTTTTTACCTTTTTTCTTGACATTTAACTTTTTAATTAACTTTTTAACTTTTTTTTCTTGACATTTAATTTTTTAATTAGCTTTTTAAATTTTTTTCTTTACTTTTTAACATTTTAATTAACTTTTTACCTTTTTTTCTTGACATTTAACTTTTTAATTAACTTTTTACCTTTTTTTTTCTTTACATTTAATTTTTTATTAGCTTTTTACCTTTGTTTCTTTACTTTTTACATCTTTACCTTTTTTCTTTACTTATTAACTTTTTACTTTTTTTTTCTTGACTTGTTAACTTTTTTTTCCAACTTAATTCCCAGTAGGTAATATATCATTCAAGGGCTCATCTAATTGGTCAAATGCCAAAATAAGATCTAGAGCCATGTAGCATCATCTCTGAATGGCTGGATATAGATCTAGTGCTTCTAGAAGTCCCTGAGGGACGGGGGGGATATTTCAGATTTCTGAGATTAAATTCAGAATTCTGACTTTTTTCCAATATTTAACTGAAATCAAATAAAAAAATCTGTTAACTGTTGAAATTTTTCTTCCAGTGTCCCTAATCCACTTCTATATTTTACAGGCAGGCTTCTTATTATGTTCTAGCAACAGAAACCAATGAAGACTTTTAGTTATATAATAGTTTTATTCAATGTTGTTCTAATAGCTGTTCTGCACTTTGTTTCAAAGCTCTTTATAAATAAAGTTAGTTTTTTTTTTGACAGCATCATTAAATATCCTGGTTCTAGATTTGATACGGGGAAGTTTATGTAAAGAGTAATCATTTAGAGAGGTTAAAACTTTGTTTTATTGATGTTCAAAGATCACTAGAGCTTAATTAGTCTGTAAAGCTTATAGTCGTGTTGCACAGATAGATTAGTCGGATTTTGTTCCTTTATTTGGACCAGGTGTCCCTGTGAACGTGTCCAGGTGTGGCCCTTTGTGTTTATGTGACTAATTAATCCATGAGGGTGATTCAGACTCCGCTGTTCACGGCTGAAATATTTGAATAAATACCCCAATAAATAAAAAACACTTTAAAAATACATTTACAATGATGGACTAAACCATTACATTTCATTTAAAAAATAAACCCGTTTCAAAATTCCTATAAAAATGTAGCTTTATATGTATAAATGAATATAGAGCGAAGCATTAATGTGTGTTTTAGGCTGAAATGTTCGGGAACCTTTAAGGCTTTGAACTTTCCTATAAAACAGTGAACTCCAACTCCAAGTTTTCTTTTTTTATTCTTTTAGTTAGTCAAAAACTTTAAAAAATTTATTCAGTGTGAATAATTTTTCTTCAGTACATTATTTCTCGAACCTATTAAATGTCTTTTTAGTTTTCTTACTGGTTTATTCAGCCATGGTGCAATGCTGCAAGTGGCCTCGAGGGGCGCTAGACCTGTAACTTCTCCAGTGGCCAGGCGTTTCACAGTGTTGCCGTAATTAACTCTGAAGATTAAATGAAAATGTTTGTTTCTCTGCAGCCTCGCTCTTCATCCTGACAAAGTTCGCGTAGCATCTGGTCAGACGGCGGGCGTGGATAAAGACGGAAAGGTAACTGCTTTAAACAAGATTTCCCTGAATGAACGGAACATGGGCCATCAAAGAGCGGGATGTACACAGGAACGCCGAGGCGTTTGATTGGTGTATCCAGGGAGTTCAGGTTTAAGAATTTAATCTAAACTTGACTGGAATTACAAACTGATTTCTCTCCAAGAGATTCTGACAAACCAGCCTGTCCAGATTTACTGGTAGGAACCTTTTTCCCCCCATAGCTTCACTCTGCTCCTGATTCCAGCCACCATATGGATGGATTAATACCTTAGATTTTTAATCTCCATAACCAGATTATCATTTATTTAATTTCAATTCAGTTTATTTTTATAGCGCAAACTCACATTCCATGCTATCTCAGGTTTACAGGGACAATTCAACAAGAAACAAACATCCAGTCAGATTGATTCAAAGTTTTCTATCTAAAGAAAACCAGCTGATTGCATCGACTCATTGACTCTTCAGCAATCCCTCACACTAAGCATGCTTGTAGCGACAGTGGAGAGGAAAAACTCCCTTTGAACAGGAAGAAACCTCCAGCAGAACCAGGCTCAGTGTGAGCGGCCATCTGCTGAGGCCCACTGGGGTTCAAGGAGACAGAAGCAGACATAGAAAAAGAAGCATAGATACAAAAGGCAACTGTCAACCAGCTCCACAGGCGGCCCCGTCCAGGAAACACACAGCCAGGCAGACGAGCTCCGAGCCAACTCCCATGTCAGAGGATGAAGAGAGCACATCCAGTTAGTCACAGTCAGAGAAACAGGACTACACTGGAAAACAGGCCAAGCTCCAACATCTAGAAACAAAGGTGTTGATGGCAGCAGCACAGCTGATATTTCTCTCCAGGATGGAGTCACAGCCAAACAGGAACAGACCAGATGAAGCTACTATGAGAAAAAGCAGAGAGAGCAGAACGTTAGAGATTGAACCAACAGATTCTGCAGAGTGGGATAATAGAGATAGAATGAAGCAGAATGATGAAAAAGGGGTCCCTATGTCCTCCAGCAGTCTAAGCCTATAGCAGCATAAAAGATCTGCCTCCCATTCTACTTTTAGAAATTCTAGAAACCACAGGAACCAGGACATAAGGAACAATCAGATCTCTGGTATCAGATGGAGCTTGGCCATTTAAGGCTTTATATGTGAGAAGGAGGACTTTAAATTCTATTCTGGATTTAACAGGAAGCCAATGAAGAGAAGCCAGGATTGGGAAGAGGGGGAAGCTATAGCGATGCTACGTTAGCATTAACCTAGCTACCCCTTACTACCAGAAATTAAAAAAAAACGTGTAGCCAGTAGAAAAGTGCAGACGTAGAAGCTGAGTGCTTCTGAAAAATTGTGTAACTTTGAGATATTTCAGAAAAGAGAACTTAGCTCAGACAGAGAAGAGCGCCACAGAACGAAGGTCAGCAGTCAAAACTAGGGTGACCAGACAGTCCCCGTTTTCAACCACCTGTCCCCGGAAATGTCCCTCATTTTACAGCTTTTATGAAGTAGGGGGAAAATGTTGCATGTAAACTGTTATTATGGTAGAAAGGGTGCGCGAGCATACTGTGCACAGAAACAGCTGTTAACGTATACAGGTGCTGGTCATAAAATTAGAATATCATGAAAAAGTAGATTGATTTCAGTAATTCCATTTAAAAAGTGAAACTTGTATATTATATTCATACATTACATACAAACTCACATATTTCAGATGTTTATTTTGTTTAATTTTGATGATTACAAATGACAACAAATGAAAATCTCAAATTCATCATATCAGAAAATTAGAATATTACTGAAGACCAATAAAAACAAAGGATTTATAGAAATGTTGGCCAACTGAAAAGTATGAACATGAAAAGTATGAGCATGTACAGCACTCAGTATTTAGTTGGGCCTCCTTTGGCCTGTATTACTGCAGCAATGCGGCGTGGCATGGAGTCGATCAGTCTGTGGCACTGCTCAGGTGTTATGATAGCCCAGGTTGCTCTAATAGTGGCTTTTAGCTCTTCTGAATTGTTGGGTCTGGTGTATTGCATCTTCTTCTTCACAATACCCCATAGATTTTCTATGGGGTTAAGGTCAGGAGAGTTTGCTGGCCAATTAAGAACAGGGATACCATGGTCCTTCAACCAGGTACTGGTAGCTTTGGCACTGTGTGCAGGTGCCAAGTCCTGTTGGAAAATGAAATCTGCATCTCCAAAAAGTTGGTCAGCTGCAGGAAGCATGAAGTGCTCTAAAACTTCCTGGTATGTGGCTGCGTTGACCCTGGACCTCAGAAAACACAATGGACCAACACCAGCAGATGACATGGCACCCCAAACCATCACTGACTGTGGAAACTTTACACTGGACTTCAAGCAACGTGGATGAAGTGCCTCTCTTCTTTTCCTCCAGACTCTGGGACCTTGATTTCCAAAGGAAATGCAAAATTTACTTTCATCAGAGAACATGACTTTGGACCACTCACCAGCAGTCCAGTCCTGTTTCTCTTTAGCCCAGGCAAGACGCTTCTGACGCTGTCTGTGGTTCAAGAGTGGCTTGACACAAGGAATGCGACAGCAGAAACCCATGTCTTTCATACGTCTGTGTGTGGTGGTTCTTGAAGCACTCACTCCAGCTGCAGTCCACTCTTTGTGAATCTCCCCCACATTTTTGAATGGGTTTTGTTTCACAATCCTCTCCAGGGTGCGGTTATCTCTCTTGCTTGTACACTTTTTTCGACCACATCTTTTCCTTCCCTTCGCCTCTCTATTAATGTGCTTGGACACTGAGCTCTGTGAACAGCCAGCCTCTTTAGCGATGACCTTTTGTGTCTTGCCCTCCTTGTGCAAGGTGTCGATGGTCGTCTTTTGGACAACTGTCAAGTCAGCAGTCTTCCCCATGATTGTGTAGCCTATAGAACTAGACTGAAAGACCATTTAAAGGCTTTTGCAGGTGGTTTGAGTTAATTAGCTGATTAGAGTGTGGCACCAGGGGCCATCAATTTTGAACCTTTTCACAATATTCTAATTTTCTGATATGATGAATTTGAGATTTTCATTTGTTGTCATTTGTAATCATCAAAATTAAACAAAATAAACATCTGAAATATATGAGTTTGTATGTAATGTATGAATATAATATACAAGTTTCACTTTTTAAATGGAATTACTGAAATCAATCTACTTTTTCATGATATTCTAATTTTATGACCAGCACCTGTAGATGAGGAGCAGATTGCACCAGTTTGAAAACAGACGAGGAAGTTCGTTATCACAGCCGGCTGGACGATTTTTAAAAACAACTTCATCGGATATATACTATATCAGATATAACTGATTCCAGAACTGCGTGGAACTGCTTCCAGTTTCTCATAAAGCCGTATGTTCAGAAAATAAGCTTGAGGCAGAGAAAAAGATAGAGAAAGGGAAAATACACATTTCAATAAAAGTGGCAAAACCAGGAATTATGGACATGGCTAAAGCCTGTAGACACACATTTTTCTATGTTTTATATCTATTTAAATATTAGGGATGGGACGGTTTATGAAAACCGTCCGAACCGTTCGGTTCGACTGTCTCGGTTCGGTTCGCGTGTGTTGCGTTCGGTTCATGCGCTGCTCCTTTTTCTCATAGGCGAAGCGTTTACACTCCAGAGCAGAAGGTGGCGGTACTGCGACAAAAGCCAACCACCAGTAGTAAACAAGAAGAAGAAGAAGCGAAGCAGTGTAGCCGGGTGTAGCAGAAAAAAATCAGTTGTTGTGGAGAATTGTGTGGGTATGGCGAGTGGGAAAGAACAGGTGCAACATTGTGCAAGCATTGTGCAACACGTTTTGTTTATGCTAACAGCAACACGACCAACATGTCATGCTAACCCTGAAATCCCTCATACTCCATCAGCGCTCCGCCCCGCTGCGCTCCAGACCGGCTGCTCAAAGCAAAGCCTACAGCCTCCACTGTGGCCCCCGTCCGCTCCGCTCTGAGTCCCTTGGAGATGGTAGAGAGCATGCGCCAGATGATTAAATTCAAAGCAGCAAAACATGCGGAAATGATCCAGGGTTTCCGCAGATCATTTAAAATAATTACAATTCATAAATTTTTATGGGATTTCGGGGTAACAATCAACATATACCAAATCGAAAACCATGACCACGAAACCGTGAACCGAACTGAACCATGGATTTTGTGAACCGTTCCACCCCTAATATATATATATCTATATATATATAGATAGATATAGAAATAGATATAAAACAGTTTCTGGTAAAAAAAAAAAAAAAAAAGATATAAAACAGTTTCATTTAAATTTTTTGGAATGGAAAAAAGGGGAAATTCCCACAGACTGTATTGATGCAAACTGGCCTGAAAACAATGTTCTGTTGCTCACAAGGGAAAAAGACAGAGAAAACTGAATGACTAGATGTCACCAATAACCGCTATTGATTGATTAATGTTATTTATCTTAGGAAATGAAAGAGGCGCATTCCTGGATTTTAAACTTAATTTTTGTTTGAATATTAATAAATATGTAAAAAATGGATGAAAACATCACTGTCCCCTTTTCCTATTTTAATTTTCATAAAAATGTATTTATTTTTATCTATAAGCTGGAAATGTCCCCAGATTAGATGCAGAAATCTGCTCACAATAGTCAAAACAGGATGATTATCTTTTAATGTTTTAAGTTTGGCTTCTCATTTCTGTCACTACATATAAACGCTGTTTTTTTCATGTTTTTTGTTGTAGCCGATGCAGTCATGTGTTCATATATGGGACTCCACTACCCTGGTCACCCTGCAGCAGATCGGCCTGGGAACCTTCCAGAGGGGAGTGGGAGTGGGATCCTTGGCTTTCTCTGTTGCTGTGAGTTGTCTTTGTGTGCGCTGTCATTTTAACATGCTCTTTATTCTGGATTTCCTCAGGCTGGGCTTCTGATGTTAATGAAGGTTTAAAAAAATAAATTTCCCTCAAACGAAGAACCTTAAAAGTGAATGAAAATCACAAGAAATTTGAACGAAAATGAGAAATTTCACAGAACCTCTAGTGTTTAAGATGATCAGACATATGATGACCATTACCTGACTGTGCTAACAATGGCGCCATTTTAACTATCCTTTTGAAACCGTGCCGAGATCGGTTCAAGCTTGTTAAATGAGATAACGGTTGAGTCAAAATGGAGCACACCACTAAACCGGACCGCGCCAGACACAACCGAATCAGTTTTGATAACAAAGAGCCCAGGAGCAGACGGCGTCATCTCCTCACAGTCAGCCTCCGTTATCTATGGAAGCAAATTGTTACCATATTTCAAATGAAAATTGTTACCATATTTCAAATGAAAAAGCATTTCCACAAATGCTTTTTCATTTGAAATATGGTAACAATTTGCTTCCGTAGTTATCAGGACATTTCAGACATTCACAAAAATACTAGCTTCCCTACCGTGCCGCACGATTTCCAGCGATTCCATTGGCGGCTCATGGAGTTTTCTGTATATTTATTTATTGTTTATTTGAAAGGGGACAGTGTACATTAATCAACTTTAAAACAATGTAAATATAGCCGAGTTAGCTAAGGAGTGCTAAACAAACAGATTAAAAAAACCCAGTCATGTAACCACTAAACTCTTAACATTTCCATGTGATGCTTGTATTGTATGTTATGTTCTTTCTGATGTATTTGCCTGCCTAGGGACTACGGATGGAAACTAGCTTTGTAGCTATAATCCGGCATATTTACATTTGTTTTTATGCTGATGTTCACTAATGTGCATTGTCCCTATTCAAATAAATAAATAAAATAAAAAAGAATAAAATAAGTATCTTAAACCTAAGCCTGTCCTGCTTAACTTCAAACTGTAAAAATGAATATAAAAAAATAAATAAATGGTGCAACAGCAAACTTGTGAACAAGTTTCGGTTCAGAACTGCCTGCATCTGTAAAACATTGATAAAAGCAATCTTTATTTCAATGGTGTTTGCTCTGAAATCTGTTACTTGAACTGAAGCGATCAGGAGTGTGGCTACCAGCGCGCTGCGGTCTGCGGGAGTTGTTAGGGAATGAAGTTGTTTTTGGGGGGGTGTTTGCCACCGGGGCAGTATTTATCCAGCCTTAAGTGTAAATATGCAGCGTTTAGGACGGCGGTCATAGCAGTGGAATAATGCGGGCCGCGTTCAGGAACGCCTTACCTGGAGACGAAGGGTTTAGTAGTGAAAGGCTGGCCTCGGATCCGTGCTTTCTGATTCACTTTTTTCAACACATTAGGCATACATTTGTAAACATATTTGTGCCTTAAATGCAATGACTGTAGCCTACAGTTGGAAAACAGAAATAAAAATCATTTTGAGGATGAGGGGATTCTGGATCGTTACATATATGCTGTCAGCTCATTGGTCACACTGCAGGACAGGGACGGGAACAAGTTTACCGTAAGTTCTGTATCTAACGTGCCCTTGGTCTTCATTTTCCATTGGCTTTTTACTGAATCGTTTTTTACTCTCACAGTAATACGGGAGAGAGTGCGCTCCTTTTCTACTAAATGCAGGACAGGTACTTTTATTTGTAAATACAGAACGATTCAGTTTTTCAAAGGACGGTTGGCAACCCTACTTACGACGGCCGACTGAATTTCTCCTGAACTTACGGTTCCTGATGAGGAGGTGGTCATTAGAGGCTGACTGCCCCCCGTTACCCCCTGTACGCTACACCGCGTCCCATCAGGCTGAAACTCGACCCGATCAAAAAATTCTCGCACGACTAGAGAATCGGCCCAAAAAGGGCAAGAAATGGCATGTCGTACGCCTGCCTTTATATGAGCATATTGTTTCCAAAAGAAGTTTCTAATAAATACAATTCTTGGTTTTATATCAGAGTCTGAAACCTTCACCATCCAGAGAGCCGTTCCTTCCTCAGTCCAGCTACATAAAACTTTTGTTAGAGTCAAAGTTGTTATGAGTTTCTAGATAAAGGACATTTATTTTGATAAATACAAACTAAAGAAAACTGTTGTTTATTCAAAACCAACATTCAGAACCAGTATTAACAGCTGCCTGAACTATAGTATTACAAGTTAAAGATGTTAAAGATGTCGTCTTGTTTTGATGTCTTCTCTTGATTCGATCCGATGCCTTTAGGACTCTGGGGCCTTCCTCTGTGTGATCGACGACTCCAGCGAACATATTCTGTCAGTGTGGGACTGCGCCAAGGGAACCAAGCATGCAGAGATCAAGGTAAGCAAAAGACGCTGTGAGGTAGTTGCCTTTCAGCACCGAATCGGATTTTCTGTCCAATCCGACAGAAAATCGTGTCGGACGAGGTCGTGCCATTTAGCGGCACTTTCATGTCCAGGGTTTCTTGCGGGTCCTTAAAAAGTCTTAAAAGGCATTGAATTTTTCAAAATAAAACTAAGGCCTTAATTGGTATTAAAATGTCTTAAATTAGTCTTTCATGGGTCTTAATTTTTAGAACATCATAAATAGGATTGTTTTTATTACGATTTATTTTTGTAATCTAAATAAAACGTTTATTAAAAAAAAATGGCTCGTCATTATAGGTTCCGTCCCGATAGCGGAACCAATAAAAGCGTTGTTGCGGCCGGGACATTTGGGAGATGCACCATTAACTTTTTGTCTCGAGCCGTTTCTCGATATGCGTTCTTGAGCGTTCTCGTGTACTCGTGACACGTCATAAGCCTCAGCCCGAGTACCGTTCCAATTCTCGAGAACTCATCAAATCCCCGGATGTTGTTCTCGCCCCGCCCTCCATATCGAGCATGCATCAGAGCAGACTTGTGCGTTCTTCAGACTGACCGCTTCCCCAGAATGCCCCGCGGCCGCAGCTTGATTCCAGACAGCGCTCACAGTGTTAAGTTAAACATTCCCTTTTCTGCTGCTGTTGTTCTTCAAAAGCACGTTTTGAAATCGTTTGAGGCGATAACATTATACATTGAAGCCTCCCTGTGTGGCCTGTTTACAGAGTTAGTGCGAAAAAAAAAAAAAAAAGTCTGACGTTGAGCGGACCAGAGTGACCAGCAGACCTCCGAGGGTAACCACAGCCAGGGCTAAATTTACCCCGTCTGTAGTGCACTTCTCACGAGAACGCGAGTACGTACTCGCGTTCTCGTGAATTGAGAAACGGCCTGGAAAATATGATCAAGTGTAAATGTAACCAAAATTGTCTCCAGCCAAGAGTTTTCTCCATGGGAATTAAGGCAGTGGAGTCGCACATGCGAAACGCGAAACACAAAGCCTCAAAATGGAGTTACAGAGAAACAGGCGGTATTTCTCAGTTTAGTTCCACCCTTGTCTCTGCAACGCCTCCACTTATCACCAAATCAAACATACTAAGAAAACCATACAAAGAAAAATAGCTGCTAAAAAGACTTAGCACTGGTTATGTTGTGGCTTTAAAACTGATTTGTTTTGTTCCCTGCTAAAACAAAGTTTGTGAATTCAGTTAAATAATTGTTAAAATATATCTGTCATTTGTGTGTTTTTAGCTTTCTTCCTGTATGGAAAGCTTTTCACAATTTGAAACATTAGTGCAGTGGTTTATGTTAAAATAAACCTTTGGGTTAAGTTGTCGCAAGCAGGTTTTTCTTGTGTTTTTTGTGAATTTGGTCTTAAATTTTTATTTCAAGTGGCATTAAAAAGTCTTGAATTTAACCCTGTAATGCCAAATGTATCATATTTGATTCATACGGTCTCTGAAATGTTTTGCATCTGACACCTTTTGCATAATTTAATGGTAAAATTATGCAAAAATTGTACACAATCAGATATACCTGATAACAGCCAGTAGAAGACTACACAAAAAATAGTCTTGACTTATCGCATATTTTGTTTTTTTCTTGGATCGGTCTTTAAAGGGTTAACTTGCCTTATGCTGTCGGAACCCTGATGTCAATGGGCAGGATTTCATGCAGGGGGCGCCGTAGCTCAGACTGAGATAGAATTTGGTGAATGTTCTCCCTCGTTAGCTAATAGGATGAGCTCAGCCTTGCGTGACTTCAACCAACTCTTCCTATTGGTGCAGAATTCTTGTCGATGTTTGTGTCATAGCCAGTTAATTAATAATATTTGGGACATGTCAAAAATATGCAATTATTGCTATCTTTTTTTAGTGTTTTTTTTTCAGTAGAATTTATAGTTTAATTCTGTACACCTCTGAGACAATGGATGCATTTTTTTTTTGTTGTTGCAGCTATGACCATTAATTCCTAACAGATGCAATAAGCAACGATTTGGTATAAAAATAAGACAAACAAAGTTGATTTATTTCTTCTTTATTTTTTATGTTAGTTTGTGAAGCTAATATTGCTTAGGGGGGAGGTTTAGAAACATTTAGGAAGCTGTGTTTTAAATAAGGATCACTTCCAATATGAATTCTATTGAGCATATTTATTACGGGATATAATTAAAGTTTTATTTGTGTTTTAAGGCGATTAATCAAACTAGATGACCTCCTTAAAAACAATCTTACAATTGAAGACTTAAAAAGTGTTTCTTTACTTTCTGCATGAATATAATTGATGTTATTGGATGTTTTTTTCCTTGTTTAAAGACTAATATCATGTTTTTATTCACTTAACAGCGACGTGTTAAAATCTGACATCCATCCGTCACAAGACAAACACAAAATCTTCTTACTGTAGATATTTTTGTTCTCCTGCAGGTAGAAACGGTCACATATGATAAAGTAAAACAAGTGTTGATGTCTGCCTCTATAGAGATGAGGGTGATGGTATGTGTGCAGCCTAATCAAGGGGAGGGGGGGGTTCTGTTTGAATGGGCATCTGGCCCGAATCGGCTCCACTTTGGGGGTCAATTTTCTGCGCAGTCGCCATGGTAACTCTATAAATATTTAGTGCAGCTCTAAGCGATGACGGGTTTTTCATAGGAGGATGTTGAAAACTGTACAGAATTGTAGGAGTCTCCCTGCTGCCGCTGCATGTGTGACGGCAGCCTGACCCCAGACCCCCCCCCCCCCCCCCCCCCCCCCCCCCCCCCCCCGCACTTTTTAAACAGTGGAATAGTCCACATACCACCCTGCATGAATGAGGCCTTTTGTAAAGCACATTGCTGCAATCTGTACCGTCCAAACTGGTTCTGATGGGTTTTTTTTATGACTTACATCACCATAAAAAAAGTATTTTTTAACTAATTTTTTAGTCATATCGAATGTACAGATCATTAAACACATTTTAAAACTACACAATTAAAATTATAGTTTCATTCAGAGGTTTCAAAAATAGGGGTCGGGATCCCCTACTTTTTTTAATCCCTGAAATCTAAAGGATTTACCATTCGACTCGGCGTCAATTCACAACACGTTATCTCAAGGAACTTTACAATTAAACCAGATTATGCAGTCAGATGGTTTCAGTGGTTTCAATATAAGGAAAAACCAGCTGATTGCATCGACTCATTGACTCTTCAGCAATCCCTCACACTAAGCATGCTTGTAGCGACAGTGGAGAGGAAAAACTCCCTTTGAACAGGAAGAAACCTCCAGCAGAACCAGGCTCAGTGTGAGTGGCCATCTGCTGAGGCCGACTGGGGTTCAAGGAGACAGAAGCAGACATAGAAAAAGAAGCATAGATACAAAAGGCAACTGTCAACCAGCTCCACAGGCGGCCCCGTCCAGGAAACACACAGCCAGAGGATGAAGAGAGCACATCCAGTTAGTCACAGTCAGAGAAACAGGACTACACTGGAAAACAGGCCAAGCTCCAACATCTAGAAACAAAGGTGTTGATGGCAGCAGCACAGCTGATATTTCTCTCCAGGATGGAGTCACAGCCAAACAGGAACAGACCAGATGAAGCTACTATGAGAAAAAGCAGAGAGAGCAGAACGTTAGAGATTGAACTAACAGATTCTGCAGAGTGGGAGAATAGAGATAGAATGAAGCAGAATGATGAAAAAGGGGTCCCTATGTCCTCCAGCAGTCTAAGCCTATAGCAGCAGAACTATAGAGATAGCTCAGGATAACCTGAGCCACTCTAACTAGAAGCTTTATCAAATTATTGAAAAATAAAACAGATAAATAATAAATTACTTATTTATGATTATTAATGAAATGTTATTAAAAATATATTTATATGTATTTTTCATAGATATAATTAGTTTACTTTCTATGTATTGATACACTGCAAAAAATATAAACCTCAATAAGTTATTTTTTCTTAAAATAAGTGTGTTTTTCCTTGATTTGAGGAGGTAAAACAGACACTTTGCCAATGGAACAAGACAATTTCCTTTTAAAATAAGAAAAAACTATTTTATCGTCTTATTTCAAGTAAATATTATCTAACTATCTTATTTTAAGAGTGAAAATACTCATTCCATTGGCAAATCATCTTATTTACCTGCTCAAATTAAGGCTAAATATACTTAATTTCAGCAATTTTTTACTTATTTCTGGATTGTTTTTGCAGTGTAAACACAGTGAAGTAATTAAGTGAGCGCGTGTCTGAAGGGGGGGGCTCCATCTGTTGCATCGCAGTTTTTTTGGGGTCACAGGCTGAAATGAGCCTCTTTAATTTATCGAGGTTAAAAGCCTTCAAATCAGCCCGATCGTTTTATTGTTTCACGACTGCTTGTATTTTTCCTCTTTACAAAATAAGATTGAAACATGAAAGGTGGAGCGTTACCTGCTTTTATGAAAACAATCTGTATCGCTCAGTTCTACTAAACAGTCATTACTTGTTTCTTTACGGCCTCATGCAGAAATTAACTTTTTAATTAAAGAAGAAAATATTGTTTATTGTATTTATGTGAAAGTATTAAGCGCCTCAGGCTGCAGACCCCTGATCTAGAACTAGACTGTACGGATGTTACTTTGCTTCCTCCATGGCGGTTGTACTGAAGGTGACTGTGCTCCTGTGTGCAGACGACCAACGAGGCCGTGTTCGCTGTGGACTTCAACCCCAGCGACAGCAACAACATCATCACCTGCGGTAAATCCCACGTCTACTTCTGGACGCTCAGCGGCGGACAGTTTACCAAGAAACAAGGCATCTTTGGGGTAAGACTCGTTTTTCTGTGTATTAATGGTGGGAGTGGGGGTTGTTCCCGCGTCGCTCACAGCTTCCTCCGTTCCAGCCCTAATGAGGAAGTAAGTGGTTCCCTGAAGGAGAACTGAGAGTCAAAGATAGACCTCATTCATCGCTGAAAAACGGGATGTGTGACGCATCGACGCCGTTTTATTAACAGAAAAAAGATGAACAATGTTCAGGTTTTACCAGAGAAACCAGATGTTTGCAAAACATAATCACTGACTAAAAAGAGGTTAAAATAAGGATTACCAAAGATGTCTGTGACGTTTCTTATCTGCTTAGAAACTTTATGCTCATATTGAACGGCTGGTTTTCTTCAGATCAGCGCCGTTTAGGAAAAGCCAGACTTTCCTGCTTCAGTATTTCCACTGATTTTCTGTCTTCATGATCCCATCTGTGCGATGAAGCGCCCCCGCATCATGATGCTGCCACCCAGTGGCGTCTGGTGGAGTTTTCTCCAGGGGGGGGTTATAAATTCAAAATAGAAGTTCACCAAAAACCAGTCCAACATAAATGATATTATATATATTTATATGAATGCCAACAACAAAAAAACATTATAAAAACACTTTATAAAATCACAAAACATAATTTAATGTCCAGGTTTACTTTTTGTACATAAATCTTGCGCTTCTGAGGCTGTGAAGGTAAATCTGTGTTCTGCATGGTTCAATATTGCATCACAAACATAAAAAAATAATGTACTAGTTTAATAATTGAGAAGCTATTAGTCAACTTTATATTTGTTTAATATATAAAAACTATTTTCTGAGAATGTGTTTATTTAAAAGCAACTATGCAGAAAATGTAGACTATATTCTATTATTTTCTATGTGAATCCCAGATTGTTCTTTCTTCTTTGCCTTTTCTAAAAAGTGCTTTCGATCAGCAGGCTCAGAGGCTGAGAGGCAGAACAGGTCAGGATCAGGAAATCAGAAACTCCAAGGAACTCTAAAAACTCTCACCACTGGCTAGAGAGAACAAGTATAATCTGGCCTTTATTTCTGGAAGCAAGCGCCTTAGATAGAGGCAGGAGCAGGTGGATCAGATGAGCAGTGATGAGAAACTGGGCAGAGGTAGACAGGTGAATGAAATTAGTAATTAAGCCAGTCATCAGTGCCAAGATCGTGACAGCCAACAACTAAAATCATCATTCCAAAAAGTTCTGCAAACTGCTTTAAATCAGTCCCAGCTGTCTTTATCCATGCTGGCTCAGATCCTGACGTTTGAAAAAGGAGGCAGGGGAAGCAGGATCTTTCAAAGAAAACCTGCATGAACTTTGTTCCACTAATGTTCAAATTACAAATGATGGCTTGTGGCATTACAATCAGCACTGCAAAAGCAGATTTAGAAATGAAATAAATGTTTACCCTGAATTTGAGCCAATAAAATGAGTAGTTTGCTGTTGAATTTTGATATAATAGCATCAATGTGTTGCATTTCTATAATTCAATTCAGTCAAGTGTATTTCTATAGCTCCAATTCACATCATGTCATCTGAAGGCAGTTCACCAGATCATCCAGTCAGATCGATTCAAAGTTTTCTATCTAAGGAAAACCAGCTGATTGCATCGACTCATTGACTCTTCAGCAATCCCTCACACTAAGCATGCTTATAGCGACAGTGGAGAGGAAAAACTCCCTTTGAACAGGAAGAAACCTCCAGCAGAACCAGGCTCAGTGTGAGCGGCCATCTGCTGAGGCCCACTGGGGTTCAAGGAGACAGAAGCAGACATAGAAAAAGAAGCATAGATACAAAAGGCAACTGTCAACCAGCTCCACAGGCGGCCCCGTCCAGGAAACACACAGCCAGGCAGACGAGCTCCGAGCCAGCTCCCATGTCAGAGGATGAAGAGAGCACATCCAGTTAGTCACAGTTAGAGAAACAGGACTACACTGGAAAACAGGCCAAGCTCCAACATCTAGAAACAAAGGTGTTGATGGCAGCAGCACAGCTGATATTTCTCTCCAGGATGGAGTCACAGCCAAACAGGAACAGACCAGATGAAGCTACTATGAGAAAAAGCAGAGAGAGCAGAACGTTAGAGATTGAACTAACAGATTCTGCAGAGTGGGAGAATAGAGATAGAATGAAGAAAAAGGGGTCCCTATGTCCTCCAGCAGTCTAAGCCTATAGCAGCAGAACTATAGAGATAGCTCAGGATAACCTGAGCCTGATGTAATTTAGGAAATGGCTAAAGAAAGTGATTCTACTCTTTCATTATGAATAGATGTCTAGCCCTATGGAAGAAAATATCCTCCACAGTTGTTTTTGAAAGTGTTTTTCCTTGTTTCCAGAAATACAAGAAGCCCAAGTTCATCCACTGCTTTGTGTTCAGCCTAACTGGAGACGTTCTGACCGGAGACTCAGAAGGAAACATACTGCCGTGGGCAAAGTCGGCAGCAGACACCAAAACGCTTGGGAAGGGGGCCAAAGGTCAGTGGGGACGCAGAAATCCGGGAGCGTTGACATGCGGACAGGAACTTATCCCGCTCTGCTTTCAAACAGAGACCTTTCAGATTGTACGGCCAATCAAAGCCCACGAAGGCAGCGTGTTCGCCCTGTGTGCCCTGAAGTGCGGCGCTCTGATCAGCGGAGGGGGGAAGGACCGCAAGATCATCCGCTGGAGTGCCGACCTGGCTCCAGAGAGAGAGTGTGAGGTGATCTACGGCCGGGTGTGCGTGCGTTCCATCTGCCGGAGGAGCTGTGGGAGCAGCGGGACTAACTGAGGTGTTCTATGCAGATTCCAGAGAAGTTCGGGGCTGTCCGAACTGTCGCAGTTGTGGACGACGAGGAACTTCTGGTGGGTACGACCAGAAACGCAATCTTAAGAGGGACTTTCCCTGCCGGGTTCGTCGCCATAGTTCAGGTATGTTCATAACCTTCGCCGTCCAGAGAGCCGATCTTTACTCCCTCCGTTAATCCCTTTGGCCCTCAGGGTCTTAGGAATTGTAATTTCTTCCACCAGAAATTCCAGATGTGATTTAAAGTTTATCTCCCAAACTATAAATTGGAAATACAATTGTTTGTATTTGTCTGACAGAAAGGCATTGAGGAATAATTTTCAGGTGGAACCACTATTTTAAACGTCACCATGTCTGAAAAAAAAGAAAAATATGTAGCCTTGCCAAATTTGTTTCCAAAATAAAAGTTGCAAAACACCATGAAAGCCCATGGATGAACCTCAGACTTTATAGATCCACATCTTGACTATAAGTCAAGCAAATTTGGACTGAATAAGTTGAATAATTTTTTTCTCCACAAAGGTTTTAGTGAGCAGTGTGCTAGGAGGAAATGGGATTTTGCCACAGTGGTGCCAAAAGTGCAAAAATGCATTTTCTCCACTCATAAAAGGGAACCTGATCAGACAAATGTGCTGATTTACATGATTGGAGACCTTCTGCATGAAGCAAAGCCTTTGCTCCTGAGATTTAGTCGTCGTTCCATTGAAATTTACCAATAATATCACAAAAACTGAATAGAAAATAAGAAAACAGAGACTTCCGGGTCAGCGCTGCAACAAGATGGCCACGTAGGAACAGGCTCCTCCGTTTCGGTATTTAAATCTCCCCCCTTGCTTATTTCAGATAACTATCAAAACTTCAGTCTAAACCATTTAAAGGGGGAAGATGCCGAAAATTAACAAGACCGAAAAGAAGACGTCTAAAACACAAGATTTTGGTGAGCAGTCGGGAGATGGTAGTGAGGATGAGGCTAACGCTGCTACTAGCAAAGCTAGCGTTGGCTTACAACAGCACGCGTTGCTGGAGAGTATCAAGATGCTTTCTAAAGACTTAAAAGAGTTTAAAAACGAGATGAAGCAAGACATAGAAGAACTCAAAGAAGATGTAAAGGCAACAATGAAAGAAGATTTCAACAGATTCAGGGAGGAAATGATGCGCGAACTACAGAACCAGAAGGGCAGTATCAACGAGGCGCAGACCCGAATAGCTGATCTGGAGGCGGCGTGCTTGGAAATGAAAGATGCGCTGCTTGTGTCATTAGAAAGCAACAGAGCTATGAACGACAAACTTGTGGATTTGGAGAGCCGAAGCCGGAGAAATAATCTTCGCATCTATGGAGTTCCGGAAGGTAAAGAAGGTAGATCGGTTTCCGAGTTTGTCGCCAATCTGCTGATCAAACAGCTGAAGCTTCCGGAAGGAACTGAACCACAGATTCAGCGGGCACACCGAGCTCTGGCACCAAGACCGCCTCCCAATGCGGCCCCGAGGTCTATAATTGTGAATTTCTTGCAATCCAACACAAAAGAAATGATTCTGAGAAAAGCCTGGGAACAGAAAGTTGAGATGGAGGGCAAGCGCCTTTACTTTGATAACGATTATGCTTCGGACGTTATAGAAAAACGTAAAGCATATGGCCCATTAAAGGCAGCCTTGAAGCAGAAGGGCGTCAGATTCCAGACGCCGTTCACAAAGATGAGAATCTTCTGGGACTCTGGAGTGCGGACCTACCAGAACGCAGATGAAGCAGCGTCGGATATGATCAAGAGAGGCTTCGACTTGACCTGGGTACCAAGAGAGAACAAGTTGAAAGTGACCAAGGAGAGGCTCGACTCACTGTTACCATGGAAACGGATCAACAACACCGGTGCAGGACAACGCGCGAGGGAGAGGCTCACAGAGTTAAGACGTGAGGACCAGTAACTCTGAACATTGAATCATAACAGGTTTGCTCTACTATAAAAAAAAAAAAAAAATTAAAATAACATACGGGCGATTTAAGAGCTGAATGTCTTTACCAGCTGGTTTTAGTCCGGTTTTGGATATTATTCTCCCCTCTGTTACTGAAGTTATTGCTCATAGGTCTTTTGATAGATATTTAAACAAAGTGCCGAAAGGAGTGAATGTTGTAGCGCTTACCAAATGTTGGACTTACCTAGTACAGGTAGATCTCCGTCTACTACTAGAGGGGGCCCCCACCCTAGTGTGGTACTTTGCCCCCCCCCCCACCAGCAGGGACACTGAGGGATGTTTTCATACATCTCCACCTTTGGAAGTTTCTGTTCTATTTGTTCATCTGTGTTTTAATAGCCTGTTCAGCTATTTGTTGGGGGATCTTTTTCTAGAATCACACGGTGACCTTACAAAACTAAATAATGACTGATATTATCAAGATAGTTTCGTTGAATGTGAATGGTATGAATAACCCTATAAAACGTAAAAAAATTCTAACTAAAATGCGAAAAGAGAAAGCACAGGTAATCTATTTACAGGAGACGCATCTGTCTAAATCGGAACATAAAAAACTCAGGGGCTTTGGCTACTCAAAGGTAGTTTACAGCTCTTTCAGACATGGAAACAAAAGAGGAGTTTCAATTCTAATTCATGATTCAATAAAATTTGATTGTAGCTATGATCTGTCAGATAAAGAGGGGAGGTATGTGATGGTGAAGGGGACTCTAGACAATGTAATGGTAACACTGGTCAACGTTTACAATCCTCCAAATAGTAATAAACAATTCCTTAATAGCCTCCTCAACAAAATAATTATGGAAACAGAGGGAATGTTGGTTTGGGGAGGGGATTTCAACATGGTATTAAACACAAAACTTGATACAACAAATAGTAAAAAACAACAAAATTCAACTACAAAAAAATTTAAATTGACACTTGAGGAATTTGGATTTGTTGATGTCTGGAGGGAATTAAACACCAATGTAAAGGACTATACCCATTACTCAGCGCCTAATAAAAGTTATTCTAGAATTGATTACTTTTTCATGAATAAATCTGATATATATAAGATAAAGGAATGTAAAATAGAAGAAACAAGTATATCTGATCATTCTTCGCTAATAATAAAACTAAATTTATCTTCTGAAAAACGTAAAACAGCATGGCGATTAAATGTAGGCTTGTTGAACTCCAAAACAATCAAAGCCGGAATTTCCCACGACATAAAAACTTACATAGATGAGAATGACGATGGACAGGTTAATCCGGTGATATTATGGGACGCACTTAAGGCAGTATTAAGAGGAAAATTGATCTCAAAAACAGCGGCCTTTAAGAAATCTAGAGTGGATGCCTATGAAAAAGAAAGAGCTCAACTAACAGATCTGGAAAGACAACACAAATTAACCCAAAATCCCAACCTGTTAATAAAAATAAAAGAACTAAGAAACAACATTGATAAAATGCTTACATATGAAATTGAAAAGAAATCAAAGTTTATTAAACAATCATATCATGAGGTGGGACCTAAAGGAACAAAACTGTTGGCAAAGAAATTGAAAAAGCAACAGTCAGATAGACATATCTATAAATTAAAGGATGATGAAACAAATCAAATGATACATGACCCAGCAACTATTGAGGACAGGTTTATGAAATACTACCAGAGATTATACAGTCAGCCTCCCTCTGCTAATGATGGACAGATAGAAACCTTCTTGGAGTCACTGGATCTGCCCTCAATTGGTGAAACCCAAAACAAACTTCTCACTTCCTATATAACTAGGATAGAAATACAAAAGGCAATTAATAGGTTAAAAAATGGTAAAACACCAGGAAGTGATGGACTGCCATCTGAGTGGTACAAATCCTTCAGCGAAGATCTCCTACCACTACTAGAAAAATCATTTAATTATACACTGGAACATGCAGTGCTCCCGCCATCTTGGAGAGAAGCAATCATAACAGTCATTCCGAAAAAAAGGAAGAGTGAAACATGCTCTGATTACAGACCTATATCCATCCTAAACATGGACTATAAAATCTATACCTCGATTTTAGCGAAACGATTTGAGCAATTCATTGGAGATATCATAGATGAGGACCAGACAGGATTTATTAAGGGTCGCCAAACGCGAGATAACATCAGAAGGGCACTTCACATAATAGACCATATTCAAAATAAAAAATCATCAGCTATCTTAATCAGTCTCGATGCAGAGAAAGCTTTTGACAGCGTAGGCTGGAACTTCTTATATAAAGCACTTGGAAAATTTGGCTTTAATGAAAAAGCTGTACAGTGTGTGAGGACTTTGTATCAGTCACCTGTGGCCAGAATCAAGATTAATGGAAATCTAACTGACAATATAAAACTAGAGCGCTCTACCCGTCAGGGCTGCTGTTTGTCACCAACTTTATTTGCAATTTTTATTGAGCCACTGGCACAACACATAAGACAACATAAGGATCTTAAAGGTATAGATATTCATAATGAGTCCCATATAATAGGTTTGTTTGCAGACGATGTTATTTGTTATTTATCAGACCCTGAAAACTCGCTGCCTTGTCTGATCAACCAGTTAGAGATATTTGGCTTCTATTCAGGATACAAACTAAATTTGAAAAAGACACAGGTTTTGACATTCGCTTATACACCATCTGAATCAATACGTAGAAAATATTATTTAAATTGGAGCTCTACTATGATGACTTACCTAGGAATACGATTAACGAAAAACATAGGTGATCTGTACAAAGCTAACTTTACTAAAGTGGACCAAGAAATTAGGAGGGATATTAGAAAGTGGGATGTCCTAACACTAGACTTCAGCTACAGAATTGAAGCGATAAAAATGAACATGTTACCAAGGTTATTGTACCTCTTCTTGGCATTACCTATAGAAATCCCGGATAGACAGTTTAAAACATGGAACCAGATTATTTCTAGATTCATATGGAACGGTAAAAAACCCAGAATAAAATTTGAAACTTTACATATACCAAAGGAGAAAGGAGGTAGGGCCTTACCTGACCTTAGAAAATATTATTATGCTGCCCAAATAACTCCCATAATAAATATAAGTGACATAAATTATGAAGCGAAATGGAAAAATATTGAACAAAGAGTTAACGGAAGAGAACTGCGGAGTATCATTGGTGATATAGAGGCCACTAAGAATACATTAAAGAATGTTAATGCCATTACTAGTTTTTCTCTGGGTAAATGGTTACATATAATCCGAATATGCAAATTAGAGAAACAGTTGGGTCTGATCCAGTGGCCAGCCTATAATAAATATTTTATCCAAGACACACGATTTAAACAATGGTCAGAAAGAGGCTTAACAGCGTTATGCGTAGTCCTTAACAATGGGCACTTTAAAAGTTTCCAGGAACTACAGCAAGAGTTTGCTCTAAGAACTCAAGATCACTTTAGATATCTACAATTAAGGGACTTCTATAACAAAGAAATAAAACAAAAAATAGACCCAAATTTAAATGGGATTATCAAAATGCTGATTGAGACCTATAAGGGTAAAAAACAAAGAACAGTGTCTTTACTCTATAAATATCTGTTAGAAAATAGAGGCACTAATACATTGAATATTAAAACAAAATGGGAAAGGGAATTTGATATTCTAATAACCGACGAAGGCTGGCTGAATATTTGGAAGACCCAAACTACAACATCCTCTTCCAGAATCTGGAGAGAACATTGTTGGAAGAATATAATCAGATTTTATATAACACCCAAAATTACTAGTAAATTCAAATCTAGAGCTCAGCCATGCTGGAGAGATTGTGGAGAATTTAATGTTAATCATGCGCATATTTTCTGGCTTTGTCCTAAAATTACTCAGTTCTGGAACGAAATACACAGTAAGATTGTAACAATACTGGGTTACCCAATACCCAAGTCCGGTCTGGTATTATACCTTGGTCTTTTGGACAATATCATATTTAATAATGATTGTTATTTGTTAAAAATTCTGTTGGTGGCAGCTAAAAAGGTGATAACCAGGAGGTGGTGCAAATCTGAACCTCCTACCACAAAGGAGTGGATACAGACTGTGATTTCATTATTTGAGATGGAGCTTCTAACACATAGGCTGAGGACGCAGGAGCAGCAATGCTTAGACAAATGGGAAAAATGGACAAACTTCACATCAACGATACCGGACTAATTTTGGAAATGGATGGTCCCCACGTGTTTTGAGTTACTAAAATATGAGTCTCCCCCTGTTTTTTTTTTTTGTTTTTTTTTTTTTTTGCTTCGATTGTTCTGTACTTTTTGTCTATTATAGTTTCTATGTATTGTTTGTTAATAATGATTAAAATAAAAATAAAGTTATAAAAAAAAAGAAAATAAGAAAACAGAGCAGCTGATGTAACACATGCAGGTCTGAGCCTCTGGTTTCCAATGATGGCAGCCATTAGGGGGCGGGGCTAAAAATGAATACCTGCTGTTGCATTACTCCCGAAGAGTCACACACATCAGTTGAAATTTAAATCTCATTTTATTTGTTTACAAAGCTATAAAACAAAAAGTATTTTTTTTTTTATAATTTAGAAACTTGTTTTAGGAATTCTAAAGCTTGGGTGTGCAGATGGCGCATTGGTTAACGCCTATGACCCATATCGGAGGCCTTAATCCCCCTTTCCTGTCAGCCTACTGTCAGGAAAAAACGAGCAACTAGTTGTATAAAAACTAAAAAAAAAAAGAAATTTTTAAACCCAATTTGAAAGGCGTGTGGATGAAACACCATGTGACTGTGTTTTCGCCATTTCTATAAATATGTAAACAATTATTTTACAAAATTAAACCAGGTGAAACTAAAACCTTTCTGATAGAGACATTTTTGAAATCTTGAATGCAATGTGTTTATGATTATTTTCTTTAATTGTAGTATTTGGTATCACTGCTCTAAGTGAGATCCTCTGTCAGCCGAAGGCTTGTTTTACAGCCTATACTCCAGTTAACGATTAATCTATTACTAAATTAGTTGACGATTATTTTAATAATTGATCCATCATTATTAATGGCTTCAGCCCCACAGTTCATATTAATCACATTTATTTAGAGCCACAGATGCTCGGAGTTCCTGGGTAGACATCATTTTTGATATCTATGAAAAAAAACATTTTCTTTTTTTTACATTTTCTTCTCTGCGACGGAATATTAGGGCCAGGTTACAGGTTTTTTACATTTTTTATTTTGAAAATAAAGTTACGAGACATTACGAGAATAAATTTGTAACATTACGAGAAAAAAGTCATCTAACAACAACAAGCTTGGAGCTCCGCCCATTAGATGATGTCAGACCAGCTCCACCACATGATGCTCCACATTCCTCATTTTAGGGAAGAAAGGGCTTCTTGGAAGAGTCAAAAAATGCAACTTGTTTCTCTAAAAGTTGCAACTTTATTCTCGTAATTTTATTATTTTATTCTTGTAATGTTACAACTTTATTCTCGTAATTTTACGACTTTATTCTCGTAATTTTACGACTTTATTCTCGTAATTTATTACTTTATTCTCATAATTTTATTATTTTATTCTTGTAATGTTACAACTTTATTCTCGTAATTTTACGACTTTATTCTCGTAATTTTACGACTTTATTCTCGTAATTTATTACTTTATTCTCATAATTTTATTATTTTATTCTTGTAATTTTACGACTTTATTCTTGTAATTTTATGACTTTATTCTCGTAATTTTACGACTTTATTCTCATAATCTTACGACTTTATTCTCGTAATTTTACGACTTTATTCTCATAATCTTACGACTTTATTCTCGTAATTTTACGACTTTATTCTCGTAATTTATTACTTTATTCTCATAATTTTATTATTTTATTCTTGTAATGTTACAACTTTATTCTTGTAATTTTACGACTTTATTCTTGTAATTTTATGACTTTATTCTCGTAATTTTACGACTTTATTCTCATAATCTTACGACTTTATTTTCATAATTTTACGACTTTATTCTCGTAATTTTACCACTTTATTCTCGTCATTTTACGACTTTATTCTCGTCATTTTACGACTTTATTTTTGTAATTTTACGATTGTATTCTCATAATTTTACGACTTTATTCTCGTAATTTTACGACTTTATTCTCATAATCTTACGACTTTATTCTCGTAATTTTATGACTATTCTCGTTGGGACTTTATTCTTGAAATTTTACCACTTTATTCTCGTAATTTTACAACTTTATTCTTATTATTTTACGACTTTATTCTCGTATTTTATTACTTTATTCTCATAATTTTATTATTTTATTCTTGTAATGTTATAACTTTATTCTCGTAATTTTACGACTTTATTCTCATAATCTTACGCCTTTATTCTCGTAATTTTATGACTATTCTCGTTGGGACTTTATTCTTGAAATTTTACCACTTTATTCTTGTAATTTTACGACTTTGTTCTCGTAATTTTACGACTTTATTCTTTGATTTTACGACCTTATTCTTATTATTTTACGACTTTATTCTCATAATTTTATTACTATTCTCGTTGCAACTTTATTCTCGTAATTTTTACGACTTTATTCTCGTAATTTTACGACTTTATTCTTATTATTTTACAACTTTTTTCTCGCAATTTTTATGACTATTCTCGTTGCAACTTTATTCTCATAATTTTACGATTTTTTCCCCGTAATTTGACAACTTTATTCTTGTAATTTTATTACTTTATTCTCAATGTTACTACTTCATTCCTGTAATTTTATGACTATTCTCGATGCAAATTTATTCTCGTAATTTTACGACTTCATTCTCATAATTTTTCGACTTTATTCTCGTAATTTTATGACTATTCTTGTTGCGCCTTTATTCTCGTAATGTTACGACTTTATTCTAGTAATCTTACGACTGTACTCTAATATTTTATGAGTTCTCCTAATTTTATGACTAATCTCTTAATTTTACGACTTTATTCTCGTAATGTTACAACTTCTTTCTCAAAATAGAAGGGGGAAAAAATCTCTACCCTGGCCCTAATACTCTGTCGTATTTCTCTAGGATGTTGACATATATAGAAAAACGTGTAAAAAGGATATTTTTTCCAACTTCATGTCAAGAGAAACAGATCTAATAAATAGAAATGCTTCTATTGATCCATAATCCTCTGTCTTTCTCAGGGTCATTTAGACGAGATGTGGGGTCTGGCCACCCACCCCTCTCAGAACATCTTCCTGACCTGCAGCCATGACAGACAGGTGTGTCTGTGGAACACAGAGCAGCACAGCCTGGACTGGTGCATCACCCTCGAGGTACCATCCAACTCTGTTTGGTTTCCTTTACGAAAAGAATGTTTGAAACCAACAATTTCTAAAATATGCAGATCAGTTTTACTAATACTTCAAGCGTTATAGAGAGAAATGTTTCAATATTTAGAAAAAAATGCATCAGAACTTTGATAAAACTTCTCAATCAAGAAGGTTTTCAGATTAATTTATAATGGTATTTAAAAGTCAACTTTTTGGAAATAGTCTGATCTCTTTGGACGTTAGTAACAGCATTATTACCGTATTTTTCGGACTATAATTTGCACTTTTTTTCATGGTTTGGCTGGCCATGCGACTTATACACTGGTGCGACATATACACTTTCTTTTTTCACCACGAGCGGGCGCTGTGTAGCTTTGCACGCGACATGTATTCTATTAATACCACTGAAAGAAAAAACGTTACAACTTACCACAAAAAAAAATTAGCATTACAACAATGACGACTGAATAGAAATATTCCGCCCAAAAGAATTTCAAAATCGGGCAGCTGAACGACAGTTTGGATGCAGAGTAGGCGTTCATGAAATAAAACAACGCTTTCTTCGACCAGTAGCCTGTCACATGCCACTTTTCAGAACACGGTTTCCATGGATACAATAACCTTTCAAAAAGGTGCCACTTTTAGTCCCCTGCGAACCGTTATGTTTTTTCGTCTTCATAATGCATTTTTTGGCCGATGCGACTTAAACTTCGGAGCGACGTATAGTCCGAGAAATACGGTAACTGATCTCAGTCTTTATAAACCTGAGATAAAGTCCTAAGAGAAATAGAATTAAATCCTTCCTCCTGTGATTGAATCTGTAGACTAATAGGAAAATGTTCAGATTGTGGATTTAGCTGCTTTCTAGAGAACTTTAAAGACGTCTTCTTTAAATTTAGGGAGAAGTTGTATTATTTCCAGGAGGTTTGGACAGATGGATGTTTGTCTCCTACAGGAATATGGATTGTGTGCGGATTTCTGCCCCAGTGGATCTGTTGTGTCTGTTGGACTCAGTACAGGAAGGTAAAACAGCACAAATGCATCATATGTGAAATAGTTTACAAATCCAAATTTCAAGCTGATATTGTTATTGGAATCCAGGACAAGACCTTATTACCTTAGTAACATTAAACAAAATATGGATATTTGATGGCAAAAATGAATGTCAATGTAATAAAAAACAACTTGCCCGAATATATTAGGAAAAAAAATAACAAAAGTGCTTTTATAAGAAATTCATGAAAAACACTCAGAGTGAAAGAAACACATTTTATTTTATTTGGTACAACATTATGGAGGATAAAAAGTGCCAAAATTAAATAAATAAATACAGCATTAAATAAATAATTAAATGTGTCAATAATCAATTAAATGTGGAATTAAATAAATAAATGTGTCATTCATTAATTAAAACCACGTCACTAATATAAAGTGCCACAATAAAATAAATAAATACAGCGATGAACAATTAATTAAATGTTTAATTCATTTAAAAAATAAGGAATTAAATATATAAATGTGTCATTAATTTAATAAAATACGTCTTCATTTTATAAAAAAAATATATATATAATTATTTCAGTGTGCATTTAATTATTTCATGGTCCTGTGTCGCAGTGCATCGAAACCATTAAAAGAATCTGTCAAACTCACCCATCAAAGTTAGGGGGCGGTTACCTAACACCTGATTGGTCACCCTGCACATTAAGGCGAAGCAAATCGATTACAGAGACTCGATTCGCGTTAACCCCGCCCCCTAACTTTGATGGGTGAGTTTGACAGATTGTTTTAATGCTTTCGATGCACTGCGACACAGGACCATGAAATAATTAAATGCACACTGAAATAATTATATATATATTTTTAATAAAATGAAGACGTATTTTATTAAATTAATGACACATTTATATATTTAATTCCTTATTTATTTAATGAATTACACATTTAATGAATTGTTTATTGCTGTATTTATATATTTAATTGTGGCACTTTATATTAGTGACGTGGTTTTAATTAATGAATTACACATTTATTTATTTAATTCCACATTTAATTAATTATTGACACATTAAATTATTTATTTAATGCTGTATTTATTTATTTAATTTTGGCACTTTTTATCTTCCATACAACATAACCTTAGAGGCATTAATGCTGATACTGGCACTTACAAGTTTCGGTTTATAAACCTAAATAGAATTGTTAACTAGGCTTATTAACTTTTGAACCTTTGTTTTTAATTAGCTTTTTACCTTTTTGTCTTGACTCGTTAACTCCTTTTTTCAACCTAATTTCCAGTAAGGAGGGGGTTCAAAACGCTAACTTGCCCTATGGCTGCGTTCACATCCGGGTCTGATTTAGGCGTCAAAACGAATGATTTACATCTGAGCGTCTGAGCGTTCGAAGCTGGAGTTCGGAAAAATTGAACTTTAAGCGCCGGACACCGGAGCATCAACTAAACAGAAAAGCTGTTCCAGCAGTTTTTTGGGGGAGACAGACACTCCCTGCAAGCTGTAATCGCTTCAGTAGACATTCTGCGTGTGAAAAATAAATAAATATCAAGGGAGTTAAACTCCAAAAGTTGAAAAATAAGCTGGAAGAATGGATTGTTGTGAAGAAGGAACAGAAGGAACTCTTTATCTGGAAAAAGAAAGAAACTCAGCAACTTGTCTCATAATCAAAGGAACAGAATGCAAAGATCCAAAGGAAATTTTAAAATGATATTCTTGTGCCGCATCAACCAATGAGAGAAGCTGATCTGGGAGCTGGCAGGGAGTCAGATGCAGCACTGCTGATGCAGAGCGCTATGATCACTCCTCTGAAACAGTTTATTAACGCCTAAATTAACTTCAAATGTAGAAACCTGCCGGCAGAATATGTTGGCTTTTATTATCCTGCTGCCTGCAGTTTGGATTACGTGCATGGAAACCGCTTCCAGGTGATTTTAGCTTAAATAAGCTCCGGTCACTTGATGTTCTGCTTCACTCTGTAACTCTGCAGGTGGCTCGTCCTCGACTTGATGACCCAGGAGGAGATTTTTGAATCCACAGATGGAAACGAACAGCTGTCAGTCATGAGATATTCTCCAGGTAAAGCACGTGTCGCACTGTAGACGTCATGTCTGGTTTTTACAGTGTTTAATTAATACCGCTGTGTTTCATAGATCATTAATAGTTATTTTACCTGTCAAACCTCTACAGGCATTGATTATTTTGGTGTATTTTATTCTGTAAACAGTTATTCTACTTTATCCAAACATCATCAAACTAGAAGGCCTCCTTCAATTGCTGCCCTTCCAGATTTAGAATTAATTTTTATTTAATTTTTTCATTAATAATTAATTTTCAGTGGTAAAGCCAAAGTCTCACCACTGTAAAATATGGAGGGTTAATGCAGACAAAATCAATCAATAAATCTATCATGAAATAAATAAATAAAACTGAACAATTGAATTAAAAATAAACATTTATACATGTATGATTGAATACATTAAATGTTAAAATATGGAAGGTTAAAGAGAACAAAATAGATATTTTAAAAGAACATGAAATAAATAAATGTAAATGAACAATGAAATTAAAAAAATAAACATTTATGCATGCATGATTAAATACATTAAATGTTAAAATAGAAAAATAAAATGAATAATTAAAAAACATTAAATGAATACATGTAAATGAACAATAAAATAAAATAATAGCAATTATATATGTATATAAGGAAATCAGTACATGTAAAATTATGGAGGGTTAGAGGGAACAAAATAAAATAAATCATTTAAAATAACATGAAATAAATAGATATAAATTAACAATAAAATAAAATGAATAATTAAAAAACATGAAATGAATACATGTAAATGAACAGTAAAATTCAAAATTTGCATTTATATATGTATATAATTAAATCAGTAGATGTAAAATTATGGAGGGTTAGAGGGAACAAAATAAAATAAATTATTTAAAATAACATAAAATGAGTACATGTACATTAAAGACGAAGAAAAAAAAATTATTGTACCATTTATTTATTGAATAAACATAAAATAATTATCTGCCCCCTCCCAACTTGAGCCTTCAAGTCCAGTGGGCGGGAACAAGGCAGCTCCTGTAGAGACCCTGACATCTGATTGGCTGCTTTAGACGACAAGACAAAACGTCTTCCTTCTAGTTTAGCTATGAGGTCAACAGTTAGCTGGAAAATGTGAAAGTAACTTTTGGAACCTGATTATCACAAACCGGGTGAGAAACTTCAGCATCTATGTCTCTCCTTTGGTCTGAAATATCTCCAATAATCTCATTAGAGAGAGTTATCTGGTGTATGTTAGTGGGCGGGGCTAATGGTGAGCCTTCGCCTCACTGGACCACATGGAGCTCTCTCTGGAACTTTTATCTAAAGCCAAACGATGTTGAGGCTGGAGTTAGTGGCCCGATGTTTGTGGGAAACAAAATGCTAATTATTAAATTATTATTTCCACATTTTTCATCCAAATGTTGACCTTACAGTCACAGCGATGTGGGAAGAAATTGTCAAGCAGTCGTCTCCATGGAAACATCATTTTATGAGTCTAGGATGATAGCATGGAAACCACGAAAATAAATAAATAGAAATAAATAAAACTATCTTTAACTTTTTATGACATTTAGTGTAGAAAAAACAAATAAGCTGAAAAATTATTTAGACATTTAAAAACAATTGATTTAAAAAAATTAATAAATAAAAAGATTCAAATATGGAGGAACAAAAAAACATTTTGACCGATATTGTTTTTTTTCTTCCATAATAGCACGAAGGCCACCAAAATAAATAAATACAAATAATTAAAATTATCTTTACATTTTTATGACTTTTAGATATTTAGTGTAAAAAAAAAAGATGAAACAAAAAAGTTATTTAGACTTTAAAAAACAAAAAACCTAAAACTAATTATTTAAAAACTGAATATAAAAGATTTGAATCTGGAGAAAAAAAATAACATTTTGACTGATATCAAGTTTTTTTTTTAATAGTATAATAGCATATAAGGCATGAAAATAAAAAAAAATACAAATTCAAATTGTATTGTATTTAATGGTTAATTTCATTGTTTAACAGTTTATACCATTCAAATAAATGGTACATTTATAATTTGATGGGACATTTATTTATTTGATTTTATCCTGTTTAGCCCTCCACAGAAACATGACCTGACTCTGATAAAGGGTCATGCAAGCTAACGCTAACTCAACTACAGAAAAATGAAGGTAATAAACTCACCATTGAGTTAGCGTTAGCTAGCATGACCGGCTCCGTGATGCTGGTTTACCTACAGTATGAGCGCCACCAGCGTCACGTCACGTGACTAAGAAAATGTAACAGGATTGGCTGGGCGTTGGACGCCACAATCCATTGCTAATGTCTGTGACCTGTAGTAACCCTTCCCTTTTTACAGTGAATTTAGACGCCGAATTTAAGACGGTGAAATAGAGCCAGTTGAATCTCAGGAGGCTGAAAATATTGAGTTTGAATTTTGAAAGGTTGAATTTTTTTACATGCAGATTTTTTTAACACTGAAAAATAAGTATTGAAAATGTAATCACTTTGAAATAGTAATGTGAATTTTTAGCTTGAAGAGAAAATAACATGAAATTTCAACTGTGTAGGAATAATGACAAGGATTTTTTTTTAGGTCAAAAATGTGTTCTGGATATATTTTAACACTGAAACAGTAAGTACAAACATACAACATTTAAATTTCAGTAGCATTTTTAATTCAAATCCCAGCGACACAAATTTACTTCCATAGAAAACAAGATGGCAGCTATGAGCTCATGTTCATCTTAAACTAACAGTACAGATAAAAACCTTAACAGGAGTTTTTATAAATCCCTGTTCAGTCAAAACAAATTAGAAGGTAAAAATCCTTGACCTGTGAAATAGTGCGACCTGTTCAGGTGTTTTAGTTTAGTTCTGCGTTTAGAGTCTAAGAACGGTTGTTGGGGTCGTAGATGTAGAGGAAAAGGTTGGAATCTCCCTTTAACTGTATAAATGGCTTCTTGTCTCTCCAGATGGTCGCTTTTTAGCCGTCGGCTCTCATGACAACTTCATCTACATCTACAATGTGACGGAGAGCGGCCGCCGCTACAGTCGCTTCGGGAGGTGTAATGTGAGTCACTGGGGGGGATTGTTGGTTATGAGCTACATTTCTCTGCTTGTTTCCTTTTTTAAATTTGGAAACCTGGGCCTACTTGAGAGTACTTCCTGGTACTGCACAATACGTATACTCAGTACTCTGGGTTAGGCTTCTTTAGCATGAATTACTGCAGAGCTGCAGGAGGGCAATCAGACAAAGGTTCTGGTTTTACCTTCCTCTTGATAACAGCCCATAGATCATCTGTTCCTCATGCAACTTTTGGCTGTGTTGGCCTTCCATAGAGCCTCTTATGTATGGCTAGAAATGAAACAAAAACAATTAATGTTTTAAAACATAAATATTCTATGAAATCCTGCAGGTTTCAAACATTTTTATTGAATAAATGCTCTTAATTTCTGCAGGAAAACAACCCTTAAGGTGCCATTCATGTTTCTGCAGCCATTGCAGATTTCATACATGTGATTTTGTTTTTTCATGATCACATCATTACAATGTTTAAGTTTTATTCAAATTTAAAAATCTTAATACAGTACATTTTTGTTTAAATTGCATCGAGCCACAAACATTTATTGAAACATTTTCTACCGGCAAAAAAATTAGAACTGAAAAGACAATATTTGAAAAAAAAAAAAAATATCTTGTTTTGAGTCTAATAGTGATTTTCTTTACATAATAGTTGTAATGAGATTATAAATAACTTAATGTTTTAGTTTAATTTTATTAAGAAAAAAGGGTCTAAACAAAACCCAAAAGAATTAATATTAGTTTTAAATGTATGGAGCTACTTTGAAGCCATAAAGTTTGTCCTGAAAATGTTTTTTTTTAACCAAAAGGATGGTTTTTTTATATATAAGAATAAAGGATTTGAATCTGGAGGAGAAAAAAAAAACATTTTGATCCATATCTTTATTTTTGCTTAGCTTTTTTTCATAATAGTTGCAGTAAGATCACAAAACACCTTCAATCCATCCCTGTTATTTGATTTAAAAAAAAGACATGAAACTATAAATACTTGTTTTAACTGTATGTAGGTAAATTAGAGCTGTAAAAATTGTTCAAAACTATTTTTCAAACTAAAAGTTCTTATCTTCAAACTACAAAATGTGATTTTGATTGATGTTGTTTTTTTTCTTTTATTAATAAAAGAAAGTTAGCCTCTAAATATTCCCATTTGTGACTCTAATAAGTTTCATTTAAATGTTATTTGACTTCTTGGATAAAAGACGAATTTTAAAGAACCAATATTTTTTTTTGTGCAAAAAAAAAATGGCAAAAACAAAGAAGGATGGATATGTTTCTTTCTATGAGAAGTTGAAAAGTGCTGTAAAAAAAAAAACAAAAAGGATAATTTTTTACAACTTTATGATGAAATGGATGTAAAAAAAAAAAAATAAAATAAAAATAAGGATGCACGGATTGATCCTCCGGCTGATCAATTGGGCGGCGAATCGATCGGCCTCGATTTCCTGGATTTTGAGGATCGTAATTGGCCAATACTTGGATGGGAAACAGATCCTATCCATTGTTTTTTTTTTTTTTTGGAGTACATTAAGGGTATAATTACTTTATCTTATTTTAAACAAATTAAGGTTGAAACATTGAATTTTTTTGTGATCTTAAACAAATGAAATGAGAAGAAATCGGAATCGGTCAAAATGGGAATCTGCATCTCAGTCTTTTTACAGATCGATGATCGGGGAAGAAAATCTCCAAGCGGTGCACCCTTCACAAAAACATGAGTGGTACATTTAGGCAGCGGCGGCTGGTGGAGATTTTTCAAAATATATTTATACCAAAAACTAATCAAACATATAATAAGTTATCAAACCAGTATATTTATAACAACAGATAGCATGATAAAAAACACTTTATAAAAACAAAACATAATTTCATGTACAGGTTTACATTTTGTCCATAGATCTTGCCCTTCTGTTGCTTTTTCAAGGTAAATCTGTGTTCTTCATGGTCCAATATTGTGTCACAAACTAAAAACTAATGAACCAGTTTAATAATTGAGAAGCTGTTAGTTAGCTTTATATTTTTGGAATATTTCAAAACTATTTTATGAGAATGTGTTTATTTAGGAGCAACTATGCAAATTAACAAACATCTAGAAAAAAAAGACTATATTTTATAATTTTCCATGTGAATCCCAGATTGTTCGTTCTCCTTTGCCTTTTCTATAAAGTGCTTTAAATCAGTCCTAGCTGTCTTTATCCAGGCTGGATCAGATCCTGATGTTTGAAAAAGGAGGCAGAGAAGCAGGATAAAGCCTTAGCCTCGCTGCATGTAGTTAGCCTCGCTGCATAGAGTTAGCCTCGCTGCATGCAGTTAGCCTCGCTGCATGCAGTTAGCCTCGCTGCATGCAGTTAGCCTCGCTGCATGCAGTTAGCCCTGCTGCATAGACTTAGCCTCGCTGCATGCAGTTAGCCTCGCTGCATGCAGTTAGCCTCGCTGCATGCAGTTAGCCCTGCTGCATAGACTTAGCCTCGCTGCATGCAGTTAGCCTCGCTGCATACAGTTAGCCTCGCTGCATGCAGTTAGCCTCGCTGCATACAGTTAGCCTCGTTTCATGCAGTTAGCCTCGCTTTACGCAGTTAGCCTCGCTGCATACAGTTAGCCTCCCTGCATGCAGTTAGCCTCGCTGCATACAGTTAGCCTCGTTTCATGCAGTTAGCCTCGCTTTACGCAGTTAGCCTCCCTGCATGGAGTTAGCCTCGCTGCATACAGTTAGCCTCGTTGCATGCAGTTAGCCTCGCTTTACGCAGTTAGCCTCGCTGCATACAGTTAGCCTCCCTGCATGCAGTTAGCCTCGCTGCATACAGTTAGCCTCCCTGCATGCAGTTAGCCTCGCTGCATACAGTTAGCCTCGTTGCACGCAGTTAGCCTCGCTGCATACAGTTAGCCTCGTTGCACGCAGTTAGCCTCGCTGCATACAGTTAGCCTCGCTGCACGCAGTTAGCCTCGCTGCATGCAGTTAGCCAAGCCTCGTAGCTAAACCAGGTTCTGGAAAAAGATGGTTCTTGCTCCATTTCTCTCTCTCTCTCTGCAATACCTCTCCAACTCCCATATTCGACCTGTCAATCACCCGTAACACGTCTGCGCTGTGGCGGGAGGTGGGGAGCAAATAAACTTCCTGTCACCTTAGGCTCTGCTATACGATTGTATTGCAGAGGATCTGCTGCACATGAACAACTTTTAACGAGTCAAATACGTCACCAATCCGACCAAAAATAGAATGATGCTTTACTAGTCATTAAAGATTAAATTTGTATCTTGCCCATCTAAAAAATACATATTAATAATGTTAATTTAAAATTTAATTATAAAAAATACATTTGTTATGTTTTAATCAGGGTCATTGGGTGGGTGGGGCGGCGCCCTGGCGCCCTCTGTTGGCCAGCCACCAATGCATTTAGGGTAATTTTCTTACTCAAATTCAGAAGAGCTGTTGAATGAAACGACGAAAAACCTTCAGGATTTTTTAATAGATCTACGGTTAAAAACAGGAAGCGGTTCTCTATCATCAACCTCTGGTCCAAAGGGCCGGATGTTCAGAACCCCTGAGTTTGATAAATAGAAAGGAGAAACATTTACTTCCATCTCTTAAGAAGAGCTGGAGCACCGAGTGCCACTCCAGTCCAGGTAAGATGCTTCTGGATTGGTCAAAACAAGGAAGCGACTGTGCACTGGATCCATCTGTGTCGAAGTTCCTGAAGCTTCTAGAATCCCAACCAAAACTCTTGCATTGTCTCTGCGTCACCATCCTCTCTAGTTTGCATTTTTCTTTACCTGCTACATCCTCTAGACTTTTTTCTTCCACTCAACTTTCCATTAAAATGCTGGGTACTGCCAGTGGAAGGTGTCACTAAGCCTCTGCTGGTCAGACAGACAGGATTCCCCCCTTTATTCTGCTCATAATGTAACATCTCTATGTTAAAGATCACTGTAGCTTTTCATTTAGAGGCAGATAAGCCGCTTAGAAAAATGATAATGAAGATTAAAATGTTCCATCATCATATCTGCCTTCCTTCTCTTGCTAGGGGCACTCCAGCTTCATCACTCACCTTGACTGGTCTAAAGATGGCGGCTACATCGTGTCGAATTCAGGCGACTATGAGATCCTCTACTGTAAGTAAACCTGCAAAAATTTGTAGTTATGATAGAAAACAGGAGGAAAAAATGGGGAAAAAGTGTTTTTGTTTTTAATCATATCATATTAATATTTAGTTGTTGTTTTTTTTGTATGTTTAATTGAGACCTGTGTGACATTTATCAGTGTCATTTTTACCATGTAAATTGAGAAAGAAAGAAAAAGCAAGAACAAGAAAAGAAAAACAACAATAAGTTTGAAAAATCTGCCCCAGATAAATCGTCTGCACATATCGTGATCATTTTCTATTCAGTTCAGTTTATTTCTATAGCACCAATTCACCAGATCATCCAGTCGGATTGATTCAAAGTTTTCTATCTAAGGAAAACCAGCTGATTGCCATCCCTAAAACTGAGAATGCTTGTAGCGACAGTGGAGAGGAAAAACTCCCTTTGAACAGGAAGAAACCTCCAGCAGAACCAGGCTCAGTGTGAGCGGCCACCTGCTGAGGCCCACTGGGGTTCAAGGAGACAGAAGCAGACGTAGAAAAAGAAGCATAGATACAAAAGGCAACTGTCAACCAGCTCCACAGGCGGCCCCATCCAGGAAACACACAGCCAGGCAGACGAGCTCCGAGCCAGCTCCCATGTCAGAGGATGAAGAGAGCACATCCAGTTAGTCACAGTCAGAGAAACAGGACTACACTGGAAAACAGGCCAAGCTCCAACATCTAGAAACAAAGGTGTTGATGGCAGCAGCACAGCTGATGTTTCTCTCCAGATTGAACTAACAGATTCTGCAGAGTGGGAGAATAGAGATAGAATGAAGCAGAATGATGAAAAAGGGGTCCCTATGTCCTCCAGCAGTCTAAGCCTATAGCAGCAGAACTATCCAGTCCAGCTAAGTCCACCTTCCTTCGTGCCTCAAATGTGGAATTAATTTTTGATTCTGAGCTACTAAAGAAAGTTTTTTTTTTTTCCATGTTAAAGAAAAAACACATTTATATTTTTTTAGGAATGTCTCAATACAAAATGTTAATTTCCGATACGATATTGTCATAAATCATCATACTTTTATTTCTTTTGTTGTTGTTTAATGTTAGAAAATGCTTCAGGAAATGATTTTGCTCAATAATCAACAATAGATATAAAAACATCTGACCCATTCATTGTTAACAGTCAGTTATATAAACTTATATTACAGATTTTAGATGCCGGCTAATTTTATTCCTATATTTATTTTTTGGATGATATTGGGTCAATTTCTTATATGAGATGGGAAAACATCCGTTTTACAAAAAGGATTACATTTTCTTCTAAAGGAAGCTGACATTTCTAGAAAATGGTGAAACAAAGGATTATAGCTTCCTATATAATAACGAGGGAAATAAATCTAAAAATGACGGATGCACTGATCCATTAGCTGTGCCTCAGCCTTCTGTTCCAAAAAATACCAACCTTTCCAGCAAAGGCTGTGGGTTTTAACTGGTGGTTTTTGGATTTGTACGCATTTCCAACTTGACTTGTTTATTGTAAAAGCAAAGACAATTATTAAAAATACTTGCAAATTAGTAGAAATGAAAAATAATGTTAATATAATGTTTGAAGCTCTAAAAAGTGTTCAAAAAATAATTTTACTTCCTTCGGTTTGTTCTTAATACTTCTAGTTAATTGGAGGGTCTAACAATTAACAACTTCATCTAAACAATTAAAAATATTAAAAATTTATTACAAATGTTGGTTTTAAATTAACTTAAATATATTCTACCTACCAAAATAAGAAAACTAAATTGGTAGAAATGACAAATTACAAAAATTTAGCATAAATGGCCACAACAAGCCGACAGATTGATCATATTTAGAAGTAAAGCTGGTCCACCGATCATGTCTACCCCTACAAAGGTCTAAAATCAGCAGCTATTAATGATCTGATCTTTTATTTTTATATAAACACGTTATCTGTGCAGTTTAAACTGGTATTCATTGTTTAAAACATTACAGATACCAAAAGTAACAATACAACAGATTGGGAACCCCCTAAAAATACAGTTACCTTATTTTCCGGACTATAAGGTGGTGAAGATTCTCAGTCCTACAGGTCATAGAACTTTCCTGGTTCCTTTAGGGACATTTTCAGGCACAGACGTGTTTAAAACCTTCAGGATTTGTTGTTAGATCTATATTTAAAAACATGAAATGGTGCCACCAGCTGAAGATTACGGAAGAGGATTAGGGCCACTGAAAGAATAAAGAAAGAGTTAACTCTTTTACATTTTATTTCAGTATGAGAAAAAAGTCAGAATTCTGACTGAATTCAAACAGCTAACAGACGTGTTAGCATCACAGACATCCCAAGTTCCAAAAACTAATTTCAATACTTTCAATCTTGAAGTCAACAAATTAAAAAATGCTCCAATTTTTACAGATTAATTTAACAGTTTTTCTTGAGTTCTAATTCAAATTTATAGAAAACAGTAGTTTTAACTTAAATTAAGCCAAAAATATGTAAAATTCCTAAATTATAAATGTACATTGACCTCATAAGAAATAGAATTTTTATTGAACCTAATTGAAAATACATTTCACTTCATGCAGCTCTCTTAATATATTTAAATCTCTTGCCCTTTTTTTTATTTCATGCTTTTCTGGGCCCCAATGAAATCACGCTGGCCCCCTCCTGCCCCCCTGGTACATTTGGTCTAGATCCGCCACTGTTCCTCCTCCCTTTCATTATACTTTAGTATATTCTGCTGTAAAATTAGTCAAATATTTTGTTTTTTTACTCGAGGATTGAACCTCTGCCGTTTCCCAGGATGCACAGCTTTGAGTGGTAACTAGGTGACTGCCAGAGAGGAACCAGAGAAACTTATCAGACTGATTCAATCAGCTCTCTGATCAACCAGTCGCCTGGAACGCTGGTTGATCAGAGCATTACTTTGGACAGAAACGCTGCACAGGTTTCACCAGGAACCTCCTCCCCACACCCCGCTCTCTATTGTTGTCTGTGCAATCTCAGTAGTTCTAATCCGCACATGATGCATGAATTATTGTACTGCCTGATCGTTCTCACTCGCATTAAAAAATATCCCCTCCCATAGTCTAAAATCCAGGATAATTTATCCAACTTGCGGGCATCAGCGAACAACTATCGATATCAGGGAGACTCCCGGAAGTGCCTGGAGACTTGGGATGTCTGGCATCAAGCCGTAGCCATGTCTGTTTTAGAGACTAGCTCTCTGGTTTTAATCACCTACTGCTCCTCCATTAATCAAATAGCATCAGCAGGGACCCTCAGGGACAGAAAAAGTCTCCACCAATGTGTTCCTGTTCCTCTTTAACAACTCACATCTTTATCAGTGAAGCTGAGAGCTCCACGTCTCTGCCTTCATGGAGCCCATCTACATTAGGATCCACAATTCTCAGATTAAAGTCAGAATTCTGATATTAAAGTCGGAATTCTAAGATTAAAGTCAGAATTCTGAGATTAAAGTCGGAATTCTGAGATTTAAGTCAGAATTTTGAGATTAAAGTCAGAATTCTGAGATTTAAGTCAGAATTCTAAGATTTAAGTCAGAATTCTGAGATTAAAGTCGGAATTCTGAGATTTAAGTCAGAATTTTGAGATTAAAGTCAGAATTCTGAGATTAAAGTCAGAATTCTGAGATTTAAGTCAGAATTCTGAGATTAAAGTCGGAATTCTGAGATTAAAGTCGGAATTCTGAGATTTAAGTCAGAATTTTGAGATTAAAGTCAGAATTCTAAGATTTAAGTCGGAATTCTGAGATTAAAGTCAGAATTCTGAGATTAAAGTCGGAATTCTAAGATTTAAGTCGGAATTCTGAGATTTAAGTCAGAATTCTGAGATTAAAGTCGGAATTCTGAGATTTAAGTCAGAATTCTGAGATTTAAGTCAGAATTCTGAGATTTAAGTCAGAATTCTGAGATTTAAGTCGGAATTCTGAGATTAAAGTCGGAATTCTAAGATTTAAGTCAGAATTCTGAGATTAAAGTCAGAATTCTGAGATTTAAGTCGGAATTCTGAGATTAAAGTCAGAATTCTGAGATTAAAGTCAGAATTCTGAGATTTAAGTCAGAATTCTAAGATTTAAGTCAGAATTCTGAGATTAAAGTCGGAATTCTAAGATTTAAGTCAGAATTCTGAGATTAAAGTCAGAATTCTGAGATTTAAGTCAGAATTCTGAGATTAAAGTCAGAATTCTAAGATTTAAGTCAGAATTCTAAGATTTAAGTCAGAATTCTGAGATTAAAGTCAGAATTCTGAGATTAAAGTCAGAATTCTGAGATTAAAGTCAGAATTCTAAGATTTAAGTCAGAATTCTAAGATTTAAGTCAGAATTCTAAGATTTAAGTCAGAATTCTGAGATTAAAGTCAGAATTCTAAGATTTAAGTCAGAATTCTGAGATTATAGTCAGAATTCTAAGATTAAAGTCAGAATTCTAAGATTTAAGTCGGAATTCTGAGATTAAAGTCGGAATTCTAAGATTTAAGTCAGAATTTTGAGATTAAAGTCAGAATTCTGAGATTTAAGTCAGAATCCTGAGATTAAAGTCGGAATTCTAAGATTTAAGTCAGAATTTTGAGATTAAAGTCGGAATTCTGAGATTAAAGTCAGAATTCTAAGATTTAAGTCAGAATTCTGAGATTAAAGTCAGAATTCTAAGATTTAAGTCAGAATTCTGAGATTAAAGTCAGAATTCTAAGATTTAAGTCAGAATTCTAAGATTTAAGTCAGAATTCTGAGATTAAAGTCAGAATTCTGAGATTAAAGTCAGAATTCTGAGATTATAGTCAGAATTCTCAGATTAAAGTCAGAATTCTAAGATTTAAGTCAGAATTCTGAGATTAAAGTCAGAATTCTAAGATTTAAGTCAGAATTCTGAGATTATAGTCAGAATTCTAAGATTAAAGTCAGAATTCTAAGACTAAAGTCAGAATTCTAAGATTTAAGTCGGAATTCTGAGATTAAAGTCGGAATTCTAAGATTTAAGTCAGAATTTTGAGATTAAAGTCAGAATTCTGAGATTTAAGTCAGAATCCTGAGATTAAAGTCGGAATTCTAAGATTTAAGTCAGAATCCTGAGATTAAAGTCGGAATTCTAAGATTTAAGTCAGAATTTTGAGATTAAAGTCGGAATTCTGAGATTAAAGTCAGAATTCTAAGATTTAAGTCAGAATTCTGAGATTAAAGTCAGAATTCTAAGATTTAAGTCAGAATTCTGAGATTAAAGTCAGAATTCTAAGATTTAAGTCAGAATTCTAAGATTATAGTCAGAATTCTAAGATTAAAGTCAGAATTCTAAGATTAAAGTCAGAATTCTAAGATTTAAGTCAGAATTCTGAGATTAAAGTCGGAATTCTAAGATTTAAGTCAGAATTCTGAGATTAAAGTCAGAATTCTAAGATTTAAGTCAGAATTCTGAGATTAAAGTCAGAATTCTAAGATTTAAGTCAGAATTCTAAGATTTAAGTCAGAATTCTGAGATTAAAGTCAGAATTCTGAGATTAAAGTCAGAATTCTAAGATTTAAGTCAGAATTCTAAGATTTAAGTCAGAATTCTAAGATTTAAGTCAGAATTCTGAGATTAAAGTCAGAATTCTAAGATTTAAGTCAGAATTCTGAGATTATAGTCAGAATTCTAAGATTAAAGTCAGAATTCTAAGATTTAAGTCGGAATTCTGAGATTAAAGTCGGAATTCTAAGATTTAAGTCAGAATTTTGAGATTAAAGTCAGAATTCTGAGATTTAAGTCAGAATCCTGAGATTAAAGTCGGAATTCTAAGATTTAAGTCAGAATTTTGAGATTAAAGTCGGAATTCTGAGATTAAAGTCAGAATTCTAAGATTTAAGTCAGAATTCTGAGATTAAAGTCAGAATTCTAAGATTTAAGTCAGAATTCTGAGATTAAAGTCAGAATTCTAAGATTTAAGTCAGAATTCTAAGATTTAAGTCAGAATTCTGAGATTAAAGTCAGAATTCTGAGATTTAAGTCAGAATTCTGAGATTATAGTCAGAATTCTCAGATTAAAGTCAGAATTCTAAGATTTAAGTCAGAATTCTGAGATTAAAGTCAGAATTCTAAGATTTAAGTCAGAATTCTGAGATTATAGTCAGAATTCTAAGATTAAAGTCAGAATTCTAAGACTAAAGTCAGAATTCTAAGATTTAAGTCGGAATTCTGAGATTAAAGTCGGAATTCTAAGATTTAAGTCAGAATTTTGAGATTAAAGTCAGAATTCTGAGATTTAAGTCAGAATCCTGAGATTAAAGTCGGAATTCTAAGATTTAAGTCAGAATCCTGAGATTAAAGTCGGAATTCTAAGATTTAAGTCAGAATTTTGAGATTAAAGTCGGAATTCTGAGATTAAAGTCAGAATTCTAAGATTTAAGTCAGAATTCTGAGATTAAAGTCAGAATTCTAAGATTTAAGTCAGAATTCTGAGATTAAAGTCAGAATTCTAAGATTTAAGTCAGAATTCTAAGATTATAGTCAGAATTCTAAGATTAAAGTCAGAATTCTAAGATTAAAGTCAGAATTCTAAGATTTAAGTCGGAATTCTGAGATTAAAGTCGGAATTCTAAGATTTAAGTCAGAATTTTGAGATTAAAGTCGGAATTCTGAGATTAAAGTCAGAATTCTAAGATTTAAGTCAGAATTCTGAGATTAAAGTCAGAATTCTAAGATTTAAGTCAGAATTCTGAGATTAAAGTCAGAATTCTAAGATTTAAGTCAGAATTCTAAGATTTAAGTCAGAATTCTGAGATTAAAGTCAGAATTCTGAGATTTAAGTCAGAATTCTGAGATTATAGTCAGAATTCTAAGATTAAAGTCAGAATTCTCAGATTAAAGTCAGAAAATTCAGATTTTTTTCCTATATTAAACTGAAATAAAATTTAACTTTTTTATATTTTCAGCGTCCCTAATCCTCTTCCGTAGAAGAACCCTGATTTAGACTGAAGCTAAAATAATCGGTATTGGCTTAAAAAAACTAAACAAGTGTCTGTCGTCTTGGCTGTTAACCTGGTTGAAGGTCAGAAGTTTGCTCTCCTGCCATCCCCTCCAGCCGTTCGGCACCGTCTCATGCATGACCAAAGTGTCTGTTTCCAGAGATCTCTCTGACTGTGGCTCTGTTTCTATCAGGGGACATCAGCGGAGGATGCAAGCTGCTGAGGAACCGCTTCGAGAGCAAAGACAGAGAGTGGGCCTCGTTCACCTGTGTGCTGGGTTTCCACGTCATAGGTGAGAATCTTCCTCCGCCTCCTGCAGGTGAGCCCTGCGGCGTCGGATCAGGATGCCGGGCTGATGTCTGTTCCTCTGCGGTTTGCAGGCGTGTGGTTGGAGGGCTCAGATGGCACCGACATCAACGCGCTGTGCCGCTCTCATAGCGAGACCATGGTGGCCGTGGCCGACGACTTCTGCAAGGTCCACCTCTTCCAGTACCCCTGCCCCAAACCCAAGGTACTGCTCTACCTGATTCTACTGATAAGGTCTGACTAATCCATCACAGATAAACCCTGGTGTTTAAAGTCGAAGGGAAATCATATATATATATTTTTTTTTTTACAAACTTTGTTTATTTGGTTTTTCACAGGAATTGCATAGCCATACATTTACAATGTGATACATATAAAACAAACCATACAATTCCCTTGAGTCATAAAAAACCAAACAAAAAACACAACAAAACGACCTGCAATCACTCCCAGGCAATAAGAAAAAGTCATAAGAAAAAGGACACCCACACGAGAGAAAAAATAAATAAAAATAAAAATAAAAAATATATTAAAAAATTATTTAAAAAAAAAAAGAAAATTTTTTTTTAAATATTACAGTACAGTTTGTGTCCAGGAAAGGGGGATATAATATTTAAATGTCAAATCATTCTGGCCTAAACATGTATATAAATGTTTTCTTTATCAGACGATATCGTCCCAAAATGTATACAATTTCTATAAAAAAAAAAAAAAAAAAAAAAATCTTGTCTTAAAATCTTTGTTTTTTTCCGTTATCTTCTGCAGGCCAGTTAGTTCTACGTCAGCCTGAACACCTAAATTCAGCCAATCATATATCAACAGTCATCTGTCAATCACATTTTTCCAGTCATAGCATCTTGATTCATATTGTTGTGATGTTAAAGGAATAGTACACCCAAAACATGATTAGCCTTCATTTTCTACTCACCCCCATGCTGAGAGACACTCTGGAGTACTTTTTTGATATCTCAAATGCATCTGGAGATCTGGGAGGCTTCTTGCTGTCTGCTGACATTCAAATAATGGAGGTCTATGGCACCCGAGGCAGAAAGGTCCACAAAAGTCCACAAAAAACGTGTCAATATTCCTCCATACTGCTCGTCCAATGTATTCCAAGTGTCCTGAGTGGGTAGCGTCCAGAATTTACTCGAAATGAAGTCATTTAGAATGTTTTTAGAGCATAAACAGTAGTGTATAGGATTTCCTGTATAGGATTTCCTGAAAGCGCGTTCACGAGTCTACGGAAACCGCGGCAGACCAAAGCAGATGAAAGTGCGCATTCAGCGTCTGCTCTGCCGATAATGCAAGCGTAGAAGAAGAAATGTGCTGTTTACCTGTGCAAAGAAAGAAACAACGAAAGAAAAATGTCTGAGGACTTCAGTGTTGAGGAAGAGCATGAGTTCTTTGCCGAGCTGAATGCGCACTTTCATCTAGTTTGGTCTGCCGCGGTTTCCGTAGACTCGTGAACGCGCTTTCAGGAAATCCTATACACTACTGTTTATGCTCTAAAAACATTCTAAATGACTTCGTTTCGAGTAAATTCTGGACGCTACCCACTCAGGACACTTGGAATACATTGGACGAGCAGTATGGAGGAATATTGACAAGTTTTTGTGGACTTTTATGGACCTTTCTGCCTCGGGCGCCATAGACCTCCATTATTTGAATGTCAGCAGACAGCAAGAAGCCTCCCAGATCTCCAGATGCATTTGAGATATCAAAAAAGTACTCCAGAGTGTTGTTCAGCATGGGGGTGAGTAGAAAATGAAGGCTAATCATGTTTTGGGTGTACTATTCCTTTAAGTTCAATGCCCATCCAGGTAGGATGCCACATTAATGTTGTGGACTTATATTCTATTCTTTTCTATTCCCAGCCCGCTGGGAATTTATGTTTCTGATACTTTAAGATGTTTATGGCCCTCCCCTGTAGGGGTGGAATTAATATCTTATTTAATCAGATATTATTTTAGCTGTTATAGACTGTTTATGACACACAGTCCTACTAACTGTGTGTTAGAACAATAGATGAAAGAGTGATTCTGTTCTGTTCAAAATATAAGATTTTATTAACAAAAATCATTCAGCTCCAAGTCAAACATATTTAAGTTTAACACTCTTAACTAAGACTAGTAAAACTCAACTAAACTAAACTACTATTTACAAAGAGGAAGGGGAAAACGGTTGAAAACCATATTACAGTTTAAGATGGATTCTGTGTTTGAAACCAAAGTTTATCTGGGATAATTTGGGATATGATCAAATTAGCTTTTCACTAATTTTAAAGAAATGGGAATGTTTTCAGACCAATTCACAATGCAAATCCATGAGGTGAATAAAACATTATTTGGCCAAATAATGTTTTATTAAATGATTTGCTTAATCAGGAACCAAAAAACCTTTAGCTAAATGATTCTTTACCCTCCTTGAAACAGCTAGCAGTGAATAAACATCAGGATTCCACTAAATGTTATATCAGTGTTTAGTGAAATAAAGTTTGTCCGAGCTTCAGCAACAGCTCAACACATGTTTCTGTATAGCATACACTGGAAAACATTCAAATCTAGATAAGTCATTTTTTCTTAAAATAAGTGCATTTTTTCTTGAATTGAGGAGATAAAAAATAACATTTTGCCAATGGAACAAGACAATTTACTTTTAAATAAGAAAAAAAACTATTGCATTGTCTTATTTCAAGTGCATTTTATCTAATAATCTTATTTTAAGAGTAAAAATACTAATTCCATTGGCAAATCATCTTATTTACCTACTCAAATTAAGGATAAATACACTTAATTTAGGAAATTTTTCCTTATTTCTAGATGTTTTTTCCAGTGTAGCGTAGCATGCAGTCCATTCTGTTAGCGTTGTCTCTACTCATCAGTAAACACATGTTGTTTGTTCTGTCCCTAATCATGCCCGACCTGCAAACCTTTTTGTCCATGTCCATTTTCCATCCAGCTGGAGTTTAGCAGGCAGTCTCTGTCTCTGTCCCAGTGGCTCACAGCAGGTGTCCTCTTTGTCTCATGCTCACACCGAAGGCATGATTCTCATCCAGTCTGGCTCTATAAGTTCTGAAACTCAAGAGAAATGTGTTGCAAAAGGTCTGTTTTGCAACAGTTTGATTCTGAATTGTTCTGACTTATCCTGAGGATTTTGGAGATCCGGGTCTTTCCGCTCTGGCAGGATCTCCATCTTGCCGGACATGGACCCCAGCTTCATGGACAAGGGAGAGGAGGCAAAGAGAAAGAGATCCTGTGTGCTCTGTGATTTTGTCTTTCCTCACAAAGTGGGGGGTGATTGGTCACACCTCGAGAATCCAGCCGCAACCAAAGTTGCTTGTGAACCTTCCTCCACAACAATCCCGCCCCCTTGATAATCGACCAGTCACATTCACTTTATTCACTCGTGTAGAGTTGTGCACCACATTTGGGAGAATTCGGAAATGCGACGGTTGGAACGGCCGCTTCCCTACGACTTTAAGCTGTATGAATGCAGTTCACACAGGAGATAACATACAGTTCGCTGGAAATGTGAACGGCAATGCAAAGAAAATCGCATTTCACAAAAAAATCGGAATTGAGCATTAAGACCTGCAGTGTGAACGTAGCTTTCAAATAGTAAATGAGCAGAAGCTTAGCAACTTATTTCATCTCAAGGCATTTTACAATTCAACCAGATCATCCAGTCAGATTGATTCAAAGTTTTCTATCTAAGGAAAACCAGCTGATTGCATCGACTCATTGACTCTTCAGCAATCCCTCACACTAAGCATGCTTGTAGCGACTGTGGAGAGGAAAAACTCCCTTTGAACAGGAAGAAACCTCCAGCAGAACCAGGCTCAGTGTGAGCGGCCATCTGCTGAGGCCGACTGGGGTTCAAGGAGACAGAAGCAGACATAGAAAAAGAAGCATAGATAAAAAAGGCAACTGTCAACCAGCTCCACAGCGTGGTCTGTGATATGTTATTCCACGCCACAACGCAAGAGGGCAGGAACTAGCTGTGGGTCTAGAAACGGCCGAGGCGGTGAGGAAGTGAGCAAGTTTGTGCGACAACGGAGGGACATGAGGGTTAAAAACAGCGGGGATCCAGGTGGAAAAAGGGTCCCAGCGTTCTCGCGCACCTCGCTCTTCTAGCTGCTCCATCTTCACCAGTCGTTTTCCACAATGGTGGTCATACAAACAAAACAAGCCGGTAAGGAACCAAAAAGGAAATACGCCATAGAGTAGAACAGATGTAGATCTGACCAATCAGAGGCCTCCTGTCTGCGGCAATGTCTGCGGTCACCTACAATTTTGGGGAGGTGCAGTAGTGTCTGTGGAAGGGGGAGGGGGGAATATCTGCGTTAACTGTAGACGACCTGGTTTCTAAGCATAAATCAGTCTTACTATGATGAGAAAAAGCAGAGAGAGCAGAAAGTTACAGATTGAACTAATAAATACTGCAGAGTGAGAGAATAGTGATAGAATGAAGCAAAGTGTGGAAAAGGGGTCCCTATGTCCTCCAGCAGTCTAAGCCTATAGCAGCAGAACTATAGAGATAGATCAGGATAACCCAAGAGTCTTGGATGAGGTGTAAGAAAGTTAGAGCCAAAGAATGGCCAAACGTCTATCCGCACTGAAATTCTCCCTTATCTTAAATGCATTTTGATGTTTTTATTGTGTTTATTAGAAACTGGAGGTTTTATAGAATTTCATCTTGCATTTAAAAAAATAACAAATTTCTGATTTTATGTTCTGTTGTTTTCAGGATTTCAAAATGTGCATTTTTTGAAAAGACGAATAAAACATCTAATTTTGTCCGCAGGCGCCGAGCCACAAGTACGAGGGCCACGGAAGCCACGTGACCAACGTCTGCTTCACCCACAATGACTCCCACCTGCTCTCCATTGGCGGGAAGGACACCTGCATCCTGCAGTGGAAGGCGACCGGAGGAGGGGCGGCGGAAAGCAGGGAGAGGCCGGCCTCTGCTTCATCCACCTCCACCAGCTCTCCAGAACCTCCACCCAGCTAGACGGGGCAGCTGGTAGCACCGGTGAAGGAAGGGAGGGAAGCCGTTTGCTTAAAGCCACCGAGGCAGAAATCAGTGATCAGCTTAGTTTAGCCGCTGCTGTCGGTCTCAGAAGTCCCCGTCGACGCCTCGCCGTAAACCCATCTGAAACTGACCCGTGGAACAGAACCTTTGGCTTTCTGTTGCGTATGTGGTGAGGAAACGTGTGTAGAGCGCTGCGTAATGTGACTGGTATTACCTTATCAGGGGTGGGCAACTCCATATCCTGAGGGCCGTGGTCCAAAACCTGAATCAAACGGCTGAATTACCTCCTTAGGATGCAGCGAGTTCCTCCAGATTCCTCTCAATCATCTAATTATGTGATTCAGGTGTGAAAGAACCAAAGCGGCATCTGAAAGTTGCAGGATAGCGGCCCTCAGGAACTGGAATAGCCCACCCCATGCGTAGATGTTTCTGTGAACATGCCTGTTTTAGTGGTTTTAGGTTGACATGTTTACAGGTTTTAACAACAGCATGCCATTGTGCCTATCAGAATGTCCTCCTATGTTTTTGTACTTCAGTGCAGCGTTGGCTGCTTCTGTTCCTATGAGGCTCCCAGCTACATGAACTCTCTTTTTCTTACTAATTCATTAATTTCTTCGACCTTTAAATCTGTATACTTGAAATTTATTACTTTTTTGTAATAATGTGTTTGTTTGTTTTTGTTTTTTGATAATACAAACAAAAAAGTGGGGGAAAAAAAGTGTGTTTTCTTGAGTTTTCACTAGGGGGCAGTGCTAACCTAAAGGTGAGCTTTGCTCTTATAGTTTGATTTTTAAAATTCAACTCATGACCTTGGTGGATTATTTTTTGGGAGAGCACTGGAAGACGGTCTTCTCTCAAAACCCTCTCGATTCCCAGCGATTTTAAAGCATTTACAACTAATTAGGAATGCATGAAAATTACAACGATAAAATGCTTCCCAGTATAGACATGTTAGACATCAAAGGTTAGATTCTCCACAATTCAACCACCAAATTTATTTTATGGACACAGCGAGCATGAAAGCACAATTAACACAGATATAGCAGCATGGTAAACTATAAATATGACGAAGCAGTCACAACATCATCCCTCTGAAGGCGTCCAGAAGCCATTTTATAAATCCAATCTTCATTTGTTTATACTCCATTCCTCCAGAAGGGTTCACAGATTAAAGTAATCCAGAATGCTTTTAGTTAGTCACAGTCAGAGAAACAGGACTACACTGGAAAAACATGATCTCCAACATCTAGAAACAAAGGTGTTGATGGCAGCAGCACAGCTGATGTTTCTCTCCAGGATGGAGTCACAGCCAAACAGGAACAGACCAGATGAAGCTACTATGAGAAAAAGCAGAGAGAGCAGAATGTTAGAGATTGAACTAACAGATTCTGCAGAGTGGGAGAATAGAGATAGAATGAAGCAGAATGATGAAATGGGGGTCCCTATGTCCTCCAGCAGTCTAAGCCTATAGCAGCAGAACTATAGAGATAGATCAGGATAACCTGAGCCGCTCTAACTAGAAGCTTTATCAAAAAGGAAAGTTTTAAGCCTAGCCTTAAAAGTAGACAGGGTGTCTGCCTCACGGACTAAAACTGGTAGTTGGTTCCACAGGAGAGGAGCCTGAGAACTAAAAGATCTGCCTCCCATTCTACTTTTAGAAGTTCTAGGAACCACTAGTAAACCTGCAGATTGAGAGCGAAGTGCTCTGTTAGGAACATAAGGAACAATCAGATCTCTGATATCAGATGGAGCTTGGCCATTTAAGGCTTTATATGTGAGAAGGGGGATTTTAAATTCTATTCTGGATTTAACAGGAAGCCAATGAAGAGAAGCCAGGATAGGAGAGATATGATCTCTCTTTTTCATTTTCATCAGAACTCTGGCTGCAGCATTTTGGATCAGCTGAAGGCTTTTAACTACAGTTTGTGGACTTCCTGATAGTAAAGAATTATACTAGTCCAGGCTTGGATTCAGCATTAATTTAGAGACAGCATGAAAAGTCAGCTGAGTAGAAAACATAGAGAGGAAAACAACAAGAAGAGAGGGACTACACCTAGAACAAATAATGGATGTCTATTCTATTAACACATCAGTATTTGTTACATTTTTGTAAGGGACGTAACGTTAGAATCTACCTTCTTGGATTTTTTTCCAGTCGACTGAAGTTGAAGCAAATTGGTTGGTTGACTAACTCTAAGCTGGAGATTATCTGTTCAAGATCAAGATTTAAAACTTTTGTGTTTCAAAAAATGCAGGTTATGCTTTACAATAATAAATTTGCCAGAAAACTTGTATTGCAGTTATTAGTTATAGTGAAAATGAAGCGTTTCTTGTGGTCAATGAAAAAGTGGATGATTGCAGATAAGATGAATGTCAAGTTTCTTTTTTTTTTTTTTTCATAAAAAAAACACCAAAAAAGTAAAAAAAAAAAAAAAAATCCAGGAAGATTTTTTCAATTCAAAATGTCAGAAATAGCGTTTAGTTCCAGGTTTTATCCAGCAGCCCAACAAAGCCTGGTTTTAGTTTAGAAAACATGCAAATAGAAACGGATGAACGGGCCCCCCCTTTGGAATGGGGGTCGTTTGGCTTCATTGTTAGCCTGCAATGCCCCATACCTGTCTATGTCTCTGGGGGCCGTTAGAGGGAATAGTTGGCCTGGATGAATAGACGAGGTCCTCTGCTCTGCTGTAAAGGGGTGGGGGTTGCGATGTAAGCCGAAAGGTTCACAACCCCCACCCCTTTACAGGGTAACGGAAGACCTCGCCTATTCAGCCAGGCCAACAATTCCCCCTAACGACCCTCCCTTTCAGAGACATAAGGGCAGCGTGTCGCAGTGAGCTTGTCAGATATTTTTAATTTATGCCCAACATTGAAGCGTGGTCTGCGCTATTTTATTCCACGCCACAACGCCAGAGGGCCAATCAGGAACTAGCTGTGGGTCTAGATACGGCCGAGGCGGCGAGGAAGTGGGGGCAAGTTTGATGCGACAACGGAGGGACATGAGGGCCAAAAAGAGCGGGGATCCAGGTGGAAAAAGGGTCCCAGCGTTCTCACGCACCTCGCTCTTCTAGCTGCTCCATCTTCAGTTGTTTTCCATAATGGCGGTCAGACAAACAGAACAAGCCGGTAAGGAACCAAACAGGAAATACGCATAGAGTAGAGCGGATGTAGATTTGACCAATCAGAGGCCTCCTGTCTGCGGCACTGTCTGCGGTCACCTACAATTTTGGAGAGCTGCAGCAGAGTGTCTGTGAAGGGGGGGGCACATCTGCGTTAACTGTAGACGACCTGGTTTCTAAGAGTAAACCAGCCGATAGACTGGTTTACTCTTAGATTCCAAAGCGGTGGATCATCTAACAATGATCTGCGCTGGAAGAGACATGGTTATTGATAGATCCTTTGGATCTATTTCCTTTTTTTTTTTTTTATTCTCATTTACTAATTATTTAAAAGCAAAAAGGTGATAAAAAGGCTTCAGTTGTATTGAGATAGGATCCCAGTTTTCATCTGCTAAATGTCTATTTCAAAACAAAAAGAAATACTCTATTTTTTATAGCTGAATTTATCAGCCTTTCTTGAGTTCTAATACAGATTTAATAGAAAACTGTAATTTTAACTTAAATTAAGTTAAAAATGTGCAAAAATCCTAAATTATGAATGTATATTGACCTAATATCTAAATATATTTATATAGCTACAATTTAAAAAAATAGATTTTTTGCTATGCTAAGGGATTGTGACTTTTTTGTTGTGATTTACGACTTAATTCTCATAATGTTACGACTTTATTCTAATAATTTTACACCCTTAGTCTCATTATTTTACGACTTAATTCTCATAATGTTACGACTTTATTCTAATAATTTTACACCCTTAGTCTCATTATTTTACGACTTTATATTCATAATTTTACGACTTTATTCTAATAATTTTATGACTTTATTCTCATAATTTTACAATTTTATATATTCATCATTTTATGACTTTATTCTCATAATTTTACAATTTTATATATTCATCATTTTACGACTTTATTCTCGTAATTTTACAATTTTATATATTCATCATTTTACAACTTTATATTCATAATTTTACGACTTTATTCTTGTAATTTTATGACTTTATTCCCATAATTTTACAATTTTATATATTCATAATTTTACGACTTTATTCTCGTAATTTTACAATTTTATATATTCATCATTTTATGACTTTATTCTCATAATTTTACAATTTTATATATTCATCATTTTACGACTTTATTCTCGTAATTTTGACTTTATCCTCATAACTTTAAGACTTTATATTCATAATTTTACGCCACTATTCTCATAATTTTACGACTTTATTCTAATAATTTTACACCCTTAGTCTCATTATTTTACGACTTTATATTCATAATTTTACGACTTTATTCTAATAATTTTACACCATTAGTCTCATTATTTTAAGACTTTATATTCATAATTTTACGCCACTATTCTCATAATTTTACGACTTTATTGTCGTAATTTTACGCCTTTATTCTCATAATATTACGACTTTATTCTTGAAATAGAAGAAAAAAAACTTTAGCCTCGCCATAACACTCTGTTGTACTTTATATATTTATATTCTTTTGTGTCCCCCTCCCCCCTTGAACATTTGGTCTAGAACCGCCACTGCTATGCCCTGGTGGGAAAAAAAAAAAAAAAAGTTGTTCGATTCTCCGGAGATTGTCGATATTTGCCGAAGATGACGATCCGCGCGCTGTCGGAGCCGACCAGAGTGTGTGTGTGTTTGTGTGTGTGTTTGTGAACTGAGCGGAGGTGAAGAAGAGGAGGATGAGGCTTGGAGCGGAGGATGGGAGGAAGAGTGGAGTAGAGACAGGCTCGCTGTGTGTGAATGAGTGAGTTAGGAAGAGGAGGAGGAGGTCGTCAAAGGGGCCGAAGAAAAGGGGATACTTCTGGTTCTTTTTTTGGGGGGGGAACCATCTCCGGAGCTCTACTAAGGGAAACTTTCAACTTCTTTTACCCGCCACAGCTCGGCTTGTGCCCGGCGCCGGCTTTGTTTCGCGGCGGGGGTGTCTGAGATAAATGAAGGAATAAAAGAGAAGCCGTCGATATTTTGAACCCAAGCCGGGGGGGCACCCTGGGATTGATTTTAATACCGGTTGCAAGAGGATGGCGGCTAATATGTACCGAGTGGGAGGTAAGAAATGTTTATATCTTTGAGACCACACACACACACGCGCGCGCGCTCACACACACACATTATCTGATTGTTCGTTCGACAGCCAGGCGGCTAGCCGCTAGCTAATCGGTTAGCTGCTAACTAAGGCTAGCTGCTTCCTAGCTCTCTATAGCGCTGAAGTTAGCATGAGCATCGTAGCTTCCGATTTATGTAAACCGCTGCATTGTCCTGTTCAAAACATGTATGGTCAATCTTAAACAGGATTATTAGGGAATATTTTAGAATTTTAATTCAAAAACATTTTTTTTGTTAGATCGAGCCTATATTCAAAGGTGCATGTTTTGGATGGATCATACCTGGATTTACTGTTTTCAAGAATGACAGATATTCCTAAAATTAAATACAACTTTCTGTTACTTTTATTTTGAAACCTTCTGAAACTTTTGAACTTCTTTTTTTTTATTAGCATCTTTAGCTAAGTTTAGAATATTTTAGGATTGGTTTTCAGTCTGGTTTCACTCTGGTTTGCAATGCAAAAACAAAAAAACAATGAATGTTTTATGCAAGAACCAATCTACCCTTAATAATAAACTTTAAATTTGTAAACTTCTTTTTTTTTGTTAGATCAAGTCCAGTTTTCAGGGTGCATTTTTTTGGATCAAACCTGGATTTGCTTTTTCCAGATTAAAAAAATAATCCTAAAATGACTCACAACTTTTCTATTACTTTTATTTTGAAACCTTTCGAAACTTTTGAACTTAATTTTTAATATGCAGAGCAACTTCAACTCAGTCTGGAACGTTTTAGGATTGGTTTTCAATCTGGTTTCATTTTGATATGCGATGAAAAAAACAAAAAATACTGAAAATAATTCAGCCAAATTGTGTGGAATGATTTGCCAGAGATTGTTTTATGTAATAACCGATCTACCCTTAATTATTAAACTTTTAATTCATGTTTTTATTTATATTTTCTTGTTAGATCAAGTCCAGTTTTCAGGGTGCGTGTTTTGGATCAAACCTGGATTTGATTTTTCCAGAATAAAAAAATAGTCCTAACTTAAAAAAAAAAATTATCCTAACTTTCTATTTTTATTTTTAAACCTTAGAAAACTTTTGAACTTTATTTTTTTAATATGCAGATTCACTTCAACTCAGTCTGGAACATTTTAGGATTGGTTTTCAATCTGGTTTCACTTTGGTTTGCGATGCGAAAGCGAAAAACACTGAAAATAAATTAAATCGTGTGCAATTTTTTTTATTAATGCAAGAACAGATACACAATTTGTTTTCAGTTTTTGCACAATTGCATTAAATTATTTCAAAATCTAGCACTATGCTTATAGAGTGTGCAGGCAGAGTAGAATCACCAGAGGTTTTCTTACACCCCCCTTAAAATCGGTGCTATCTACATCTACAGTTCGGACACTAACTTCATTTACAGCCTTCGCGCTTGCCTTAAGTTTTCCTTGAAAGAACGTCATAATCTATTTGAACGTTATAACTGCAATATTGTTGAGCGAATAAACATTTGTTGAACTACTTAACCCATCAAACCCAGTAATATATCATATTATTACAGCATAGATGCAATATACAACTTTACAAACATTGCTTGATCCCGGCTAACATAGTTGTCTCACTGTTGTCGGGCTACGCGATCTGTCTCTGAAAGTTTGGAAATAAAATAAAATAAAGGCTTCAGATGGGAAACCTCTGGTTGCGTATTGGTTTCATAGCCGGATATATACGCGGTGCTTTTAAATGGGGGGTTCTGTTGGTAGAAAACAGAGGTTTAATGCTGTTAGCGTTAGCTTGTAGCCGCTAACTAGCAGCACCTCGCGGGGTGTTTAGCAGCTAGCTTGTTGGGTTGATTTCATTAGCCTGTACCGCTCTACTTGTTACGCTAGCAGAGTTACCCAGTGCTAAATTTAGCCTAAAGCCACCTGCTGGTTCCACCATGGAGGTTATTTTCTAGATAAATGGCTTTTTGTTGGGTGGTTTAAATCAAGCTAAACTTTAATAAACCACTGAGTTAGCCAAACAGTTGGCGTTCTGTGCTGCAGACTCCTTTGTTGTTGCTGTTACCTGCAGACGTTTAGCAGTTTCCGCGTTGGGAAACTTTCTCATTAGAAAAGTGTTGTCAAATTCCGCTTTTCTATTTTGACCAGAAATAAAAGCTGTGCATAGAGCACCGCGTTTGCTTCACATAAACCTGTGCAATGTGAGGGGCTACCAACTTTTTGTTGACATTTGGATAATATCTGATGTCAGTAACGGATAAAGGAGGTTCATAATTCATATTTTTCATGCTGTGTGTTGGGTATGTGGTCTGAATTATTCTGTAAATAAAGGGCAGAAAGAGACAGACCTGGTTTATGGTCGGTGTGGCAGGATTATCTGCACTCACAAGGGTCTGCAGGGTATTTAGGTCATGCTGATTAAACACTGCTCTGCACACTATGGTGCACATGGACGGTGACTTAACAGCCAGTGCTTCTTAGATAACTTTTATTGTCTATTTATTATCTATTTATTATAACCAGTACTCCAGTTGAGGAGGGACGACATGCCCCTTCTTAAAGTTATAGGGAAGTCGCATTTAAATGTCAAATCATTCTGGCTTTAACATGTATATAAATGCACTCTATCAGACCATATTGTCCCCCCCAAAAAAAAAAATTTTCAATAAAAAAAAAATCCTGTCTTAAAACCTGTTTTTTTTTTTTTCGTTATCCTCTGCAGGCCAGTTAGTTCTACGTCAGGCTGAACACCTAAGTTTGGCCAATCATATATCAACAGTCATCTGTCAATCAAATGTTTTTAGCCATAGCGCAACGGTTGAAACCAGGGATGGACGTCTGTGTCTTCGGCAGGCGTAGAGCTAACAGAACTGGCAGCGTTGCGAGGCAAGGGCTCAAACATGTACGGCTGGAAGCCTTCTACACCAAACCAAGCTTCTGCCGCCCTGGCGTCCTCTTCCACAACATCTTCGTCCCCGCTTTCCTCCTCTAAATAAAAAATGGATGACGGAGGAGACTCATCCACGACCTCCGACACTAAACTCTCCTCCTCTTGCATGTTTCCGCTGTCCATAGCGTTCCTTGACAGCGTCGTTTCTAAGTCACCAATTTAGTGCTACTTGGTCCCAATGGAATTTCCCATAGGGAACCTGCTAGCACTAACATGCTAACTGGTTAGCAAGATGCTTCCCACAAACCGGCTACAACCAAACTTGCTTGCGAACCTTCCACCACAACAATCCCGCCCCCTTGCTGTGTGTTTCAGAAATGATGTGAGGGAGGTGATGACGCTCAAACGTCCAACATGCACTACGGCTATGAATCATCATAGAGATAATAAATATAGACGGTTTGGAGGTCTTTGTTTCTTATGAAATAAATACCTTTGTTGAATGGTGGCAAAATGCTGATCCTGGATATGCAAAAAACTGTATTCGTGAAAATAAAAGATTTTCATAGAGCCAACTTGAGGTCCTCCAACAGACAGGTTTCTCACCTATACGACGCAAATAAAGAGTTAGATGCATTTACAAACACTCTTTTTGCAGCTTGTTGTTTGATAGAAATGTGTTTATGGACTATTTACACCTGATTCTCTGCAAACGTCCTGAATGTTAGGGGCGCCACCATGTTGGTTTGCTTGTTTCCCTCTAGAGAGCGTGGTGTATAAATGGTTGTAAGTAACCAAGCTTGGCACAGATCGGTTTTCAGAGGGTAGTGAAAATGGGGTTATAGAGCCCAATCCAAATTCTGCTTGTGACCAATAGAAATGCTCCTGCTAGGATCCAACAGACCAATAGAAATGCTCCTGCTAGGATCCAACAGACCAATAGAAATGCTCCTGCTAGGATCCAACAGACCAATAGAAATGCTTCTGCTAGCATCCAACAAACTAGTAATAGAAATGCTGGTGCTAGCATCCAACAGACCAATAGAAATGCTGGTGCTAGCATCCAACAGACCAATAGAAATGCTGGTGCTAGCATCCAACAGACCAATAGAAACGCTGCTGCTAGCATCCAACAGACCAATAGAAATGCTGCTGCTAGCATCCAACAGACCAATAGAAATGCTCCTGATAGGATCCAACAGACCAATAGAAACGCTGCTGCTAGCATCCAACAAACTAGTAGAAATGCTGGTGCTAGCATCCAACAGACCAATAGAAATGCTCCTGCTAGCATCCAACAAACTAATAGAAATGCTGGTGCTAGCATCCAACAGACCAATAGAAATGCTGGTGCTAGCATCCAACAGACCAATAGAAATGCTGGTGCTAGCATCCAACAGACCAATAGAAATGCTCCTGCTAGCATCCAACAGACCAATAGAAATGCTCCTGCTAGCATCCAACAGACCAATAGAAATGCTCCTGCTAGCATCCAACAAACTAATAGAAATGCTGGTGCTAGCATCCAACAGACCAATAGAAATGCTGGTGCTAGCATCCAACAGACCAATAGAAATGCTGGTGCTAGCATCCAACAGACCAATAGAAATGCTGGTGCTAGCATCCAACAGACCAATAGAAATGCTGGTGCTAGCATCCAACAGACCAATAGAAATGCTCCTGCTAGCATCCAGCAGACCAATAGAAACGCTGCTGCTAGCATCCAGCAGACCAATAGAAACGCTCCTGCTAGCATCCAACAGACCAATAGAAACGCTGCTGCTAGCATCCAACAGACCAATAGAAACGCTGCTGCTAGCATCCAACAGACCAATAGAAATAATGCTGCTAGCATCCAACAAACCAATAGAAACGCTCCTGCTAGCATCCAACAGACCAATAGAAATGCTGCTGCTAGCATCCAACAGACCAATAGAAACGCTGCTGCTAGCATCCAACAGACCAATAGAAACGCTGCTGCTAGCATCCAACAGACCAATAGAAATGCTCCTGATAGGATCCAACAGACCAATAGAAACGCTGCTGCTAGCATCCAACAAACTAGTAGAAATGCTGGTGCTAGCATCCAACAGACCAATAGAAATG